AAAATATATCGATTTCAAAACAGTAATTGGTATTAACAGTGAACAAACAATTTGTTAACTTGATTAAACCTTTCAACTAAATTACTATTTTATTAACTAAATAATACATATTAATATTTAAGTCAAATATATGTTTTGTTAGGTTTAATATGTTATATTTAATTTAAATATTTTTATGTTTTCAATTAACAAAATATAATATTTAGTTGAAAGGTTCAGTCAAATTAACAAAATTTTTTTTCAGTGTAGATAAAATTTTAATTTATTTGTACAAAAGTAGTTTAATTTAATAGTAATAAAATGAGACGAGATTATCGTTTTTGATTAAATTTCAACGTCTAGTTTTTATTAATTTGCGTGAGTGTGTTTGAACTTAAGTGGCATCGCGAAAATACGTTTGTAACATTTAGTACTGATGAAGAAAAAATATGATTTAAGAATGAAAAGTTCCTGTCGACGCACGGCGAAATAAAATATACATTTCAATTGAAAGTCGTAGACGTCTGTCGAAAAGAATGTTGAAAAATTTACTGGGAGCCACGCCAAAGAGATAAACGTAGTCCGATACGACGTGGATATTCTGTAAAGAAGTTCGTAAAGAGAATACACGTTCGACTGAAATTTGTTAAGTGCGAGTAAACCGCTTCAAAGAGACAGAAAAAAAGAAACAGTAAATATATCCACGTCAAGTTGAGAACTGACATGAATATCGAAATTATTTGTGCGTGACTCCATTTATTTACAAAAGAATTTACAACAAAAGAATATGCGTAAAATTCTCTCCATTATTTTAATCTTTCTTTTTCTATTTTTTCTGTTTATTGTTATTATTGTTTAAAAAATAATTTGTACTAAAAATATATTATACGGTCGAGAGAAGATTTTTACCTTTTTTAAAAATATATTTTTTATACAAATATTGTCACTTCAAAATTATTTATTTCCAATATTATTCTACTTTATATTCTCTTTTATTTTTTCTCTCAACGAAATATCGACGAATAATTTTCATATATAATATTGATATTTTTAATATCTTGAATATTAATATATATAGATTGCGAGAGAATTTTACAATTTCTATAAATAATAAAATGCAAAAAGCAAGATGATAATGTCGATAATGTAAAGAAGAACTTTAGTAAAATGTGTAAAAAGATTACATCTTATCGATCACTTCGTTTGTCACATATACATATATTCTACTTTCTAATAGGACTCAAAGATGAGATGAGGTGTAACCTTTTCGCACTTCAGACTTTCTTTATATAAATCTTTATTTGCTCTTATATATAAGAATGAATAGATCATTCATTGTAGTACAACACTTGCATAAATATTACACTGATTACGAGAATAACGAGTATTTTATGAGACGAGATATTATGTTGCTCTATGAAAGCTTTTTAAAGAGTTTTTTTTATATATATTAACTTTAAATCCGCTTAATTAATTGTAATAAACAGAGAAGTGATCATAAATCTAAATTGAACATATATTGATTAGGATATTAAATCGTGTCGAAATGCAAATATTTTTCTAAATATAATTTAATAGTGACTTGTAAAAATATGAAATAAAATCTCTGTTAAAATGAACAAAATAAACAAAATATTTAAGAAGAGAGAGATGATAGGAAGAAAATGATATTATGACAAGTGCTCTCTATACTATAGTTAAGTGCTAACAAATTACGAATTGACTCTAAATTTAACAGTTCATTGCTTAAATTGAAGCTGCGGATTTCTTCGATCATTCAATACATTGTTACAGCATACATATATGTATATGCAACTCACTCTATCGTGACTATTCATTGTCAGTGATACGATGCTCGTGAAACCCGCGTCAGTCCCTCTTTTTATTGTCGCGATCGTGACGTCAATAGTCGCTAATCTTGGAGCTCACTTCCGAAAATTATGACGCTCGCGACGCGGACATTTAAAGCGATTATTCGTTTGACGATGACACATACGGTTGTCCTCTCTTCCTTTTTTTATCCAGTAAATTATATAATACTATTGAGAAAACATGATTTCTTTTACATGAAATACGATGACTTTAGAAGATTAATATTTTTAATGATATTGAATATATTAAATTTTTACATGCAATTTACATAGGATCGATTAGTCAGCAATAAATTTAATATTAAAAATGAATGATATAAATAATTCTATATGAATTTTTATTTTCATATGTATATTTTTATAAACAGTTTTATTTTAAAACTTTGTATATAATGTCTATAAAACCGAAATTATTATTGATTGATTTTCGAAATTTCTTGTAGAAAAATCTAAATACGAAATAAATTAAACAATTGATTGGAAAAAAATATTCTTTATTTATTAATGATTTATTTCAATCGTTATTCTTACTAAAATCGAACTTTTATTTTGTTTATTAACAAAAACTTTCAAATCAAAGCATAATGTATTGATCGCAGAAAAATGCACGCCAAGCGAAAGTAAATAAGATCGTCTAGGCGTAATGCAGATGTGGTTTGGAGTTTGCGTATATATCAGAGGAAATTGGCTGAAATATCGAAAAAAAAAACTGTTTCGCTGAGCCACTCTCTTCTCTCGATTCTTGAACAAAACTCAAGATACAATCAGCGAAGACGCCGCCTATAAATCGTCGTATTTGATAGAAGGAGGCTACCATTGTTACCCTTGGCCGTCGCGATCTCGACGGACGTAAACACGGCAATTGTTGACGACAATCGTCGTGTTTTCCTCGCCGGGCGAGAAAGAGAGCTCGTTCGTTGACGAAGTGCACAGCCGCGAATCGCGCAATCAAGGCAGCCCCAGCGATTTTTCCACCCACGCGCTCTTTTCTTTTTTTTTCTTCCCTCTCTTCCTCAACTTCCGAAAGAAATCTCACGTTCAATCTCGGATAATGACGCAACTGACATAACACCGTTGTCGTATATTCTTTTTCTCGTTATCGACTCCTAAAGACGTCAAAGTTGCGCAACCCCTCGTCAAGGTTAAAGGACGCAGTAAGTGACTTTAGGAGAGAGAGAGAGAGAGAGAGTTTGCGACTTAAAATTGTGTAGATAATGACGATAAAAATGTATATAATACGACTTATAGTCTAACATACAGAGTACATAAATATGTATTATAGAGAATTTATGTATTTTAATAGTATCGCACACTTTTTGTTTCTTTTTTTAGAGGAGATTTAAGTCATATTTTATAATATGGCGATGTGTATTGCAAGTGTGATTCACGACTTTGGGTCATTTTATACACCCACGAAGCTTCATCCAGATTAATGAGTTCGGCTTAGCGGTTAGACGTCAAGGCCATTATATGGAGATACAAAAAGAGGGGAAAATCGTCGCTCGGAAGCTACTCCAAGAGCTTTCGTCGGCCAAGACCGCCAATTAATCGCGTCCAAGGATTAGCGAGTCGGAATTCACCTTATTACTGTTTCCAAGCTGAATGACTCTTAGGGACGACCGTCGAGTTATTAACTTGATGAGAAATTAGGTCAGCGTGGTGTTTCCGATTATTTGTCCAAGAAATCGAGCTTTCGAGTTTATATTTTGACAAAGAGGCTTGTGTATCCGGATATATTTATATCTCTCTCTCTCTCTAATCTCTCTAATCTCGCTGAAAGAAATTGATATGAAACAGGAAATTGAAAATAAGAATAAAAATAGAAATAACGAATAAGAATTAACTTTTGACATTTGATCAGCCAGATGAAAATTAAGATGACATTTTCCTCGAAATATCATTCGCTAAGGTTTAATATATAACATCGCCAACTGTTTTTTCATGCAGTAAGAAGCTTGGATAGTTCGCCGGTTGACGCAACGTTGCGGTTTTAGAGTCTGTTAATTTAACAGTAGCTTTTTGTGCGCACCGAGATTGATTAAGCGTGGTGCGATAGAAGCGTCTCGATTATAAATAATTTTGTTCCAGCGACGCGTTTTACTGGCTCGATTCGTACACGTACAGGGTGTTCCAGACCTACCGTATCACACGTTGATGGGAGATTTCTGAGGCAATTTGGAGACGATTTTTCCTCAGCGAAAATGTCGAGAAAGGTCATCATTTTTTAATGTTTCCAATTTTTGAAATCATGTATCTTTATAAAAAAGGCTTTTATTGGTGCCTGGACATTTTCGTTGAGGAAAAATCGTCTCCAAATCGCCTCAGGAATCTTGGGAGATTACGGTAGGTCTGGGACACCCTGTATATACATGCGCACATATACGTACACAGATTCAGTGACAGTTAACGTAAGAACCGTAATATTACCACTGTAGCTCCGTGCAATGACAGTAGACATGCATGACGTGCATACATTTACAGTCGTGTTACTCTCGGTGTTTCTCGGCTGGGTATGTTGGCACACATATTTAACCTCGTTTTTGCCTCGAAGCCATGTCGAGTCATGTCTCCCTTTGAGCCAAACGCGGTTTGGCCCACTTCGGCCGATATATCGGAGACCAAAATGCTCCCCGGCGTGTTTATACACGCGATGCGAAAAACATTCGCGAAAATTCCAGGCACTTGACACGAGCGAGACGACGATGATAAGTTTACGAGCAGCCGCGATTTACTACTTCCGAACACGTCGTTTTCTCGCCCCGAGTCGATTATTTGGCGGGCGAACGATTGCCAGATTTCCCAAAGGGAAACCGTTGACTCGGATGAATCCACGTAAACTCGGAAATGAGATTCTCTTGTTTGCTTCAAAGAATTTTAAAGTTTCTTTAAAATTTATTTCCTCAAATTTCCTTCCTCGCATGATTACACAATGCTATAGTGTTTTAAATTGACACTTGCACACGATTCTTTCTGTTTATTTTTTATTAAATTGAAAATGTTGATGATATATTTATGATAATTACTAAAATTATTAAAAATGATAAGTGATATTTCTGTATTGTTTTGTGTGTATTCGTTATAATAATTTTATATTAATGTTTTATTAATTGTGATTATTGTATTACACGAGGTAAAATCAATTGCTAAACATTAACGTTTACAATCTTTATTGTCTTTAATCGTAAAGAAAATAGGCATTGCGTGATTATACATTGCGTGCTACGTTGTATTTACTAGTGCGCATTAAATATAGCAACATAAATTAAATATTGATAAAGTCATTACTTATTAAGTTCTTATTCAAGTGTTTTATTCTTTTGATATACACAGCACACAACGGTGTCGATTATTTCTAGTAGATTGTGCAATTTTAATTAGGTACGTATAATCCTAAGTTAGATTCTTTCACGACAGAAAACAGCAAAGAGTTTTTCGGAATAAAAGGTATATTTTGCTTACTGTATTGAAAATGTATCTGTATCCATCAGTTTTGTATTCTTGTGTCAGTGGCATGGAAATCTTATGAAATATTAATTTATGTCTAATTTAACTAATTAAAAAATTGGCCTCGCATAACCATTTTATTCCGTGCTCCGCAATTTTTTCTTCACAATTCTCTTCGCGCAAAAGATGAACTTCTCCAGCTCTGCGTATGTTAATTCAGGGCGAATTCCATATTGATTATTCAATATGGAATTTTACCATTAATTTTATCGTGACATTATTATCATTCCTTCATATTAAATATTTTTATAATAAATATAATACACTAGAGATAAAGTGGGCTTTGCTATTTATGAACAACGAAGAGTCACGAGTCGTTAATTATTATCAACGTGCTCGCTCGATTATTTCCGGAATCCTCGTCCTTCCAAATCGATTGTTCAGACAATCGCAGTCAAATCAATTTCATGGCTGAAACTCAAAGCTGTTATTATAAAAATAGACGACGACGAAGCCAGCTCGACTGCGCGAATGAACGGCTAAAATTTGTCGCGATATTTCTATTCGATTACTATCCGAGATTATAAACGAATCATCCTCGCCCTACCACCTGGTTGGTCGGCAAACCAACGGAAATCGATACTCGTGACAGACTCGATCTACGGGTTGCCGTTCTCTGATACGAGATAATGTGGAAGATATACGATCAGTAATGAAATAAATACGCGCAGATGACGTGAGACCATAAACAAGTTTCCAATCGGTCCTTCTGAAATTAGTTGAAAATAGTCATTAGAAATCCTACAGTTTTAGACTCTCATATCGATCCATGCGAATTGTATTTTAATTCGATTAACGTCACATCACGCGAAATGAAATTCACGACAAAGTGTGCATATTAATGGAACATGAGATATGAACTTAATGAAAAAATAAAAATAAAAAGAGATCAGATTAGATGTTACAAAAAATTTAATTCAGATTTCTTCATCATGTCGTCGATCGCACATGTACATGATGATGCTTCAATGATATACGTGTACTCGCTGAAATGATAGACAAAGGCGCGTTAAATCCTAGCGTTTAATGATGACAATAAAGAAATGTGGTCCATCGACGAATCGGTCCGAACCGGCCGGACTCCAATTACGCGTCCTGATCACCCCATTCGAATTCCTCGCCGCCGGAAGTAACCTCCTCGATCTGCAGTTCATCTTCGATCGCCAACGGTCCCGTTTGCGACTTGCTTTCAGCCCCTTCCGGCTCTTCGACGAACGGACTTTCGGTTACCTCCAAGTGCTCTTCTTCGGGAACGTTCTCCTCTTCAATCTGAAAGGTGGATTCCTTGCGATTTAACTCGTTTCGCGATTCTCTTCAACTATCGGTTCTCGAATAAATTCGAATTCTCTTCTTTGCGGACGGAAATTCACTTCCTTTCCTTCTCCGACGTATATTTATTAATATATTTATTAATTATACAAAGAAAGTTAATAAATATATTTTTATTTAAAAAGAAATATTTCCGAAAAGTATAAGAGCTTAAAATTATCTAATCTTAAAAATGTCTACAAATATATAAATATATCTGAATATTATTAAAATTGACGACTTAAAATTTTCTGTATCGATGATGCAAAAATCGGCGATATTTAAAGAAAATTATAGATCTTTAGCCTTTATCCGTAATTACTTACCCGTGTTTCGTCATCTGTGGTAACATCGCAGGGTTTCTCCTCTCTTTCCTGATCGGTTACCTCGACAGGATCCACCGGATCTTCGGCGCAGCTGATATCATTAAGCTCGCTAGCTGGAAGCTGCGCGACGTCCGTCTCTTCCTGCTCCTGTTTCTGCTTCTGAATATCTTCGAGATGTTCTTCGATTATCAATCGTTCTTGCTCTTGTATCAGAGCCGTCAGCTTTTCCTGGTTGATTAATCTGTCAATAGAAATCGATGGAGCGAATTAGACACCATCGGATATGTAAACGTGATAATACAAATATTGATTAATTAAATATAAAACTAGGTACAATTTATTTATTTAATCCAGTTTGGTCGCTTATGGGAGCTTTTCTCAAATAACTCAACATACCTCTCATTCTCCTCTATTCTTTCCGTTTCCTCGTGTTCCGCTTGTAACTTCGCCTCTTCCGCCTTCCTTTCAACTTCCTGTCGTTCAGTCTCCAATATCTCGCCAAGCTCGGCTTTCCGTTCTTGTGCAAGCTGCAGGGCCTCCCACGCTTTCTTCTCTTCCATTTCGAGTTGCACGCGTTCTTCCTCCGCAGCTTTCCGCCTCTCCTCTTCCGTTCTTCAAAATGAAGTTATTTCAAGTTATTTCCAGTTCATAAAACGAATGTAATATAAGGCATATGTCGAGATTGAATATAAATAAAATTTAATCTCTACAATCTATAAATAAAATTACTTACAAAAAAATCCACACTATATTCACATATACACAAAAATTAATAAAAAAAGATTTTTATACTTTTACGTTTAATTTGATATCAAACTAATTTAATTTATTCATTCATATGATCATTTAATATAATAATAATAATAATATTAATATATGATAATTTTTATTATTCTATGACGAATAAGTCATATAATAAGCGTAAATTATTTTTCCATTATTTAATAATTAATTTATAATATTGAATCATTTCGAATCGATTCGTGTCCTACGAACTGTGGGCGAAGGTCAGGAATTTGGCACTTCGATTGTCACAGATATACTTAGCGGGTTATTTGGCTGAGTTCAATGCTAAATGTTATCCGCAAATACTGGTGATTAATTTACACGATTGGCTCATTCGCGATGTACTCAATTGATATATATTACTCTTAAATAAAATTAACTTACTGAGCTTCCCGAGCTGCTTTAGCAAGGTATTCCTCGGCCCTCTTTATGGCATCTTCTTTCTGCTTTTTCACTGCAACAGGATGGTTTAATTAGAATCTCGATGGACAAGAAAAAATTTTACAAAAGTATACAATGTTGTAAACGCATATATTTCATTATTTCAAGTGAATTTATCAGAATTTCATACACATATTCATCTTATACTTGTCAATTTAAATATATTTATTCCTTAAAATTAAAAATATAAGTTGTTTTCATAATATAATATAAATATTTGTTGATGATAAATTTTGAATACTATTAAATGAATTAAAATGAGAGAAAATTATAATTTTTATTTGAATCGAAGCTCAATTTCGAAATTGAACTCAATTTATATTTAAATTTAAAATGAATTATGAATGCGATTATTTATGCACGACTAAATCTGTCGAACACTTTATGTTTGTATAATTTCGAGGAAGACTGTGACATACATAATATTCCACAAGACTATATCGACATTGTATTTTTATAGGGAAGACATTTATCACAAGAACGAACATTGAAACTCTGGACTATGTAAAATAAAGACATTCATCCACGTGCAGTCGATATGAAAAGATGCTGTGAACGCTTGATCTTTTCCTACCCTAATAAATATCCGCAATTCGCGTGACAAGCTCGTTTCCGATCATCGAAATAAAATATTTCCGATCCAGTTGATAAATATCAACGTACCCTCATCGAGTTCTTCCTTCTTCGTTTCGTCACTTACAGCCTCCGTTGATTCCGCCGGTGCTTCCGTTTCCGCTTCGGGTTTCGCAGCTGGTTCTGGTTCTGGAACAGGCTCTGGGTCTTTTACTGGCTCCGGTTCTTTTACTGGCTCCGGTTCTTTTACTGGCTCTGGTTCTTTTACTGGCTCCTGTACAGGCTCGGGCTCTGGTTCTTTTATCGGTTCTGGTTTAGGCTCGGCTGCTTTCGCGGATTTCGTCGGTTTCGCAGATTTCGACCCTTCACCGGTTTCGACGGTTTCGCAGGTTCAACGACTGGTTCCGCCACTGATTCCGATTCTTTTGCGGGTTCAGGTACGGGCTCGGGTTCTTTTATCGGCTCTGGTTCTGGTTCGCGTGTCGGTTCCGGTTCCTTCTTCGGCTCTGATTTCGGTTTTGATTTCTTCTCTGCTACCGGTTCCGGAGCAGAAGCTACGATGTGTACAGGTTGAACGTGAACGAGGGATGACACGAAATATTGATATGAATTTTGCGACTTTTCGCGGAGACTTACTTATTTTCTGCTCCTGGGCCTTCGGTTCGATGCATAACGCGCGTGCTAAAAATTGTGTGAAGACGTGAGACATGGGGGAAACTTAAAGTGAAAAGGGCACAGTAGAACGTCAATCAAACTGATGATGACGAAAAAATTGAATGACGAAACAAATACAAAGATAATGATTGCAATTTGAATCTTGTTTGAATTAGAAGGAAATTTAATTTTCTTAACTAAATTGTGTCGTAAAGTTCTTTGAATTGATTAGAAATTTTGATGTATAATATTTTTTATAATATATTATATATATTTACAGGATGCGAATGAAATGATGAAACATGCACACGTTAGTCAGTTACAGATCACATAGAATAAAAATACATATGCACTTTTATCTACACATATGACAATCTAATGTTATGTATGTACACCTTACAAGCATATTTATATTCAAATATTAAATAATTTTGTCACCCAAAATTAATAATCTGTATTTTTCATGATAAATAAATGTAATAAGTTATGTTGAAATTTTTTGCATACAATTTTGACAAGTAAAATATGAAAGTATAGAATTGTAAAATTCTGAAAATATTGATTATATCTTAGATTGTTTTATTTTTCAATGATAATTATATATAAAGTCTATTTCGTTTTGATTTCAAAACGTCCCCACAATCGCGATTGTCTGTAATCCAAGTTCTACTGTACTATATTTTTTTATTATTCGTAAGAAGGATTACTTCGTGTTTGCCTACTGACCCTTTCGCATCTCTCGTTCTGTCATTGGTTGACGGGGGCTGTAGGGTACATGAAACGTAAAGAATCGATTAATGACCAAGGATTATTTCGGATTGTGTTAAGTAAATTCAACAAAGCGACAGAGAGGCTTCGCAGAAAACTATATATTATACGACATTATAGGAAACGATTACTATGATTATTATACATGTAGCATTGATATGAAAATGAAGTGATGAAACATGCACACGTTAGTCAATTACAGATCACGTGGAATAAAAATACATATGCACTTTTATGTACACATATGACAATATAATGTATGTGCACATATATATGCGACGAATAAATTACAATAATTAGTTATTATCGAGATGGAAACATTCTAAGGATGAATCATCAAGCTTATTTTCGATGACGCGGAATTACCGCGCATGTCGATATTTTAATGTCGATGAAATCGATGATTAACGAAATTACTCGTTTTTTTCTTATGAAAATGATTGTCATTGATCGTCACGGTCCGAATTAACGTGACGTGCGATTAAAGATCACACTCGATATACTAGCGATAGACTTTGCCAGATTTCTGTCTCTGAAATCAAATGCTTAGAGAAACGAATATATTTTTTACTATTAAATTATATTAATCTTTTATATTTCAATTTTTTAACTCTTTGAATTTTTAAATAGTTTCTATTGAAATTTATATTCAAAGAAATATATTATATAGAACTCTTTTATATATTTAAATATGTATATCTTTTTTTTTTTAAGGAAACTTTAAAAATATCAAAGCAATTTTATTCGATAAAAAAATGTCTTTTCAATTATTTTTAATCGAATTCCACAAATAAGTGGATTTCAGAGGCAAAACGATGTTGTTGGTTAAACTACGAAGCACACGAAGAAGCTTACCTCGAAAACAGTATACATTCACTCGCTACGCAGCTCGGCTACTATTTCCATTACTTTGCAAAGTAAAGTAATTGATTTGGGAACTTCCGCTTCTTTAGCAGACACTATTATTTTATTCGTATCTTTTTCGTTACCTCGCAAATACGAAATAGAAGTTATAAAATTGAAACAGTGATGGACATCACAATGCAATTCGAGCAACATTGAATTAGTGTCAACATTTTTACTTCCGTCTTTCTTTTTTATCATTAAATACGTGCGAGTTTCGCCTTTTTCTGTTGTTACCAATTTAATCCAATTCCTCTTTTTTGTCTCTCGCACGTCGTATTTTCGTATTCTATTTCTCGTGTTTGTTTCACCTCGTAGATCGCATCGCTATGTGCGTTTCGATAGTCACGATGATTTTATCCGCTCGTCGCAATTTCATTAAAGTCCATCGAATAAAAATCGAATGAAGGATGCTCAGAAAATACAGCACGTTCTATGATTATTGCGAATAACGGCACATTGAAGTTTAATGAAGCGGTCGACGAGCGCATGACCAGAATAGAAGAAAGTAAAAATAAAAAAGAACGAAGACGGATATTAGATTTTTTCGATCATGATTATCCCAGCAAATGTGCACGGTAAAATAATTCCGTTTAAAGATTTTGCCAGGCTTACGAACCGAAGATAAAAATATAAAAAAAGCTGAAATAATAAATAATATTTGAAAACTAAACTCTCTGCAAACTTTTCCTGTCAATTTCAGTGATGAAAATAAAAAATGACATTACAACATTGATTGATATTAAAATTGAATAAAATTATTCTAAATTGATATATTTATATAGTTTCTGCAATAATCATATTCCAGAATAAAATTTTATTTGAAAAATAAAAGTTTATACAATTTAATCCAATTTCTCTCACATAGACACGAAATTATATTTGTATCTGTACATTTTAGTTTTGTTGCGAAACAAAATTTGATTATTCTTTTTATCGTTATTCTTTTACATCTCTTTTCTTTGATCTCAATTTAGAATGATAGAATCATGATTTCTTCATCGAGCACCATACTGTTTACAACTTCCATCTTTTACATACTCTAATAATTCAGACTCCGATGCGAGGTCTATTTACAATTAATTAAAGAACTCTTATTAAAAAAAAAAAGAAAAATAACGAAGTCGCTTTTCCGGTTCGTAGTCCTGGCTTTCGCATGTCGCATAACGCCTATCGTTCTATCCTTCCACGTATGGACGCGCCACTTCCGGAACGCAAAAGTAGATGGTATCGGCCACAGTTCGTACGATGACGAAGTCACTCTTCGGTTACGGCCTCTCCCTCGGCTTCGCTCTTTTTACTTGACTTCTCATACAGCTCCGGCACCTTCTCTCTCCAACCTTTGCCTGAAACGTTCAAAAAAGCCGCACTGCTTCCCAATTTGTCATTTGCTCTTTTATTCGCGAGCGTCACAAAATTCTGTGCTTTTTGGCGCGCGATCCCAGTCGCCTGATTCCGCCTGGAGTCCCCTTCGTGTAAATATCTTGCTCTCTCTCGTTCCTTTGTTTCTTTTGATTTTTTTTTTTTTTTTGGCTCTTGGTTTGTCTTTTTGTTACTGTGTTGTTTTGCGCTGTGCTTTCGATTGCCCGATATCGCAACAAAAATAAGCGATACGTCTGTTGGTTCGCAAAAAATTGTAAACCGTCGCCGAATCGATGGATCGTATAAGCGATGATTGAATCAATCATTCCGGAAAAAAACATAATTTGATCTTTTTATGGAAAAATAAATTATATATTTTCTCGATAAAATTATTTTCATTAAATTTGAAAATACGCCATTTGTTTTATTTTCCATTTATAAAATTAATGTAATTTATATTTAAAACCTCCCAATAATAAAATAAAAATGAACGTTTCACTAATTCACACGCCCTTTCCGTGAAGATCGATTCAATTGCATGTTCTTTTTAGAAAATAATAATAATAATAAAAACGCGCTGTCGCGATCGATATCGAATATACATATTACAGGACAGTTACAAAAACGGATGCGAGGTACGGTGGGAAGAGTAGGTGTTGTATACGATTGCGTTGTTGTACAATTAGACACAATACTATCGAACAGTAATGCAGCCACGACAAAAAAGACGTACAAAAAGAAAAAAATAAGGAAAAATCAACTATTGCGTGACTAACAAGAAAAACAGCAAAAATACCAGAACACACGTGCTCGTCAGCACAAACAAAAAATTCTCAGACAAGTGTGAAACCAAAGGTGTCAGCCAATCCAAAAAGAGGGATAAAAAAAGTATAGAAACGAGAGGGCGGGGGCGGTGGAACGAAAAAAAATTAGACAAAAAGAGAGTTGCACACAACGGCGTCGTGGGGCCGTTTTTTATTTTCCCAAATCTATTCGAAAAAATCGTGTTTTTTCGCGAGCTTCGAGATTGTAGCGTAGCTATTTTTCCACAAATTTTTCTAGACGTGACATACATTTTGATAAAAACTAATCTTCTCGATACCATTCATCTTTCATAAAAACATATGAATTTAATTCTAGATCAATACTATAATCGAAAACACAAGATTATCATATGAGAGAGATTTCTCTCTTCGATTTTAAAAAAATTCTACGCCACTTTCTCGTTAGTCTCGTGCATCTAACTACGTCCTTTACATCGTGTAATGTCTCGTCAAGACGGAACCGTTCTCGAACGACGTTTTGACCTTGAGGAGAAGCCTCTTCAAAGCCAAAGCGAAGTTCACAGTATGGTCCGTATCTTCGTCGTCACTCGTCGTCGTTCACTGTCACTCGTCATGACGAATTACTCACAGGCAGTCGCAGCCGCCTGACGATTCTTGCTGTAGTAGCTGAGGAAGTTGACGTCGTTGCGAATGTCGGACGGTCTTAAGTCCGCGACCTTGACGTACGGCTTCCTGACGGACTGTGGCTTGCCAGCGACGTACTTGACGCATGCCAGGGTGCCGAAGGCGCCCCGGTCAGGCACCTCGTACCAGCTCAGGTGTTCGACTTCCTTCTTCGCGTTGTTGCGACCGGTGAGCAATCGGCGAACATAGTCGTGGCTGCGCATACGTTCTGGGACGATCTCCTCGGCAAAATCGCTGAAAATAGAAGAAGAGATCGTTGATTTTCTCGACGGCGAACGCTCTATTTCATGACTCGAAAGTGGAAATCCCTAGAAAAGTTAATATATATTCTAAAACAGATCGGTACAACAAATGTAGTAAGCAGAGAAAAAGGATATATTTTTTAGAATATATATATGGAATAATTTATATTATTATTGATATATTTTTGTATTATTAGGACACAAAGTTAGACGTGTGAAATTTGACGATTGAATTATTAATCCAAAGATTTTGATTAATTTAATCATTTAATTAAATGCACATCGTTCTTTTTTCGTCGGATACCTTGATACCGCCCTTGGCACAAACACATGGACCCGTCGAAGAAGGGAATCCACTCTCGCGCGAATTTCCCTCGCCTCGTCATCAAACAACTGTGAAAAGACATATGTGATATTTTACTATATGAACGAACCGCTCGATATTTTGCATGCATTCAACATAATGAATTTACGACGAGAATATAATTTTTATTTTTAAAAATCGAAGATAAAAACTATCATTTTTATTATATATCTCCTAAATTTAGTATTTAATTTTACATTGAACAGGGAGATACGTAAATGTACGAGTAAAAATGTTTATCTAGTCCTTGCTCTATATCCCGTAGGAATTTATCTGTCATTAAAGATAGACGATCACTTGGATCATTGCAACGATGCGATTCCGCTTGTGGTGTCCGACATAGACAGACGTTGATGAGAAATGACGATGCTGATATTTGATAAGCACGATTTATTCATGAATGATGACGACGTCTTATCACGTATTCTTATGATCATGATGCCAGGCTAGTTCAGATCAGAAATGGAGAGAATGAGAGAGAGAGAAGTTAGGAGAAACAAATGAGATTAGGCTAAATCTTGTGTCAAACTTACGATGTTGTCTCGGGAATTTAGGTACTCCTCGATGTAGGATTTAGTGGACGGTCTTGCAGATCGCGTATCCTGTTGAGCTCGGCTGAAAGGACGCTAGGTCGCACGCGCGCCCGCACCCTTATCGGTACCATAGCGCCGGCGTAGTACAGGTGATGGACCGGTGAATGGACTATGGTGACGAGCCTCTTGTGTGCCACATATGGCAAGTGAGGAACGCTCCTCAACTGGAGGCAACGAACGTCACGTTTTTACTAATTGCTCGGCAGCGAAGCGAATTGCTCGACAAGCCCAAGATACCAGGCGATCAACGCCTTTGGTGACGATTAATGTACATGCAAATTTGCAGAGTTTCGTCAAAGATATGCGGAAGTTAAATAATGTTCGTGCTTTCAGCCATTTTTTAAATTATATTGGTTGTATATAATAATTGCGGGAAGAGAATTTAATTTGAGGTATGGTTTGCTGAAATATTTTGCTTATTTAAAATGGAACAGTCGGGACAAGTTTTTACTAAAGATAAATTATTAGGAAAAAATAGAGTTTATTATTAAAATGACTTTATAATTATTAAAATTTCTAAATAATAAAGAACTAAATATTTGATTAATATTTATGAAATATTTGTTTAATATTGAGACAAAAATCGTCACCAAAAGATTGACAATAGCAAAGCTTATCGTTCGATGAACATCTCCAGCTATGAGCAGCGACAGACCACATGATTGAGCAAAGAGGTACACAAAAGGCTTCAATACTTAATTGTATTAGCGGATGTTGAGTATGGCGTTAAGCTCGGTGTGTCAATGAAGAACGTGGCAGCGACGATTAATCGATGTGTTACATTACCTTGAATTACGTGTGACACCGTGAAGATGAATATTACTGCGATGAAGTAACGCTTTAGGATTAGCAAACTTCGAAATCAGTAATTAATTAGCGCGAGACGATGTCAGAGCGGCAAAGCGTCGTTACGTCTATTTCAAGAATCTTTCCATAAATTACTGGCAAGTTTTGCGTAACTTCCTGTTGCTGTTAAAGCGATAATACTCAATATATTATACATAAAGATTATAATAATATATGTGCTTTTATATATCACAGATTTAAACGAGGTGTTAAGTATTGTTATCGAAAATAAGCAAATCGAACGATTGATCAACATTTTCTTTAATTCAAAAAATTTTCAAATTAATTCAATGAATTTTAGATATTTGACAATATAAATAAACTGAAAGGAAACTTTATTAAATCTTTAAAAAATTTATAATTTTTTACATATTAATCGACTTCATTAATTGTTAAGTACATTTCTACAATAATTCGAAAAAGGTCGATCTAATTATAAACACATATGAAAAGATGCTAGTCGATTCCGACGAATAAATTATGATTAACTCTATTTATAATTCAGTGGTCCTGAAACTTAGAAAGAATCTTTAAAAATTTCTGCGTGCTCGAATAAAACTTTTAACAAGATGTCTTCAAATTTAATTAGATTGTAACCACTATAGATTCGCAAAATCGTAGCCAGATTAACTCCCAAATAAAGACGAGATACTTGTTTGCTTCTCCAATCAAAAATAATAATAGAAATTAATTTGATGCACGGCCATGTGCATTCGTTCGCATCCGATAAAAAAAATTAAGAGAAAATCAGAATCGACAATCGCATCTGTTGCGTTCTTAATGATGAAAGCAGTCGATCGTTCGCGAAGAGTGCACTTCAATCATAATTGTCAGCAACAGTCGAGAGTAGATACCTACCTGAACGATACTGGAGAGCGGTATGATGATGGGTCGATACTGCACGGTCGTGCGTTCGCAGGAGTATCGATGTGTTTCAATCAATTTTTTTATTTATTTTGTTTGATCCGTCGAAGAGTCCAACGATGAAGGCATCGACGGCGGCGGCGGCGATGTCGATGACAGCGAGGAGTAGTCACATGTGAGAGGCAGAATAAATAGAAAGAAGAAGAACAACACTCGGTTAGTGGCTCAGGTTGCGTGTGCGTGTATCGCTCCTTTTCTTCTTCGTCCCGTTTTTTTCTTCGCTATTTCGTTCGCCTCGTGTTTGCTTAAACGCTCTTTCGTGACGTCTCGAGAGGGTTGATCGGAAGGAACGAAAAGAAAGGGTCGTCGGAGGAAGAAAAAGTGAGAAAAGGGCGCAGAAGATCTCGTATATCGCGAAGAGGTTTTTTTTTCTTTCGTGATGTTTAAAATACCGATTTTTTTGGCCAATTGTCGCGTTGTGTGTCTATCGAGATGACGACGAACGATGACGAGGATGACGATGACAATATTGATGATGATATAGTGCGCCTTTGTTAGTCACGATTAGTAGAGCTCGCTTCATCTCGCGAGAAGAAAAAACAGCTACATAGAAAGCAACTCTTCGTAATGTGTTCTGCGATGATGTATACGGTAATCATAATTTCAGGAGACAAAACAATAGCAGGAATTTAAATTATTGCCAATATGACTCAAGAGTTTACACTTGAAATATTTTGATGAATTTTAATTTTAATTTAAATTCAAATCATTATGAAATGTAACGAGACGACGCGATAAACTTTTAAAAAAATGATGAATAACATTTATTATTTCTCTTATATTGCATTATTATTTCGTATATTATAATCTTCTTTCATTGCATCTAAATAGTATTTATTTGAATAATAAGCAATCTGTCTAATATATAAAAAAATATTTCCTTATTTGCATTGTATTAATCAGAATTTGTTTTCATTTCCCGAAATTATGGATTGCCTTGCAATAGAATAATAGATATATCGTAAGACGAGAAATTACATATCCTCGTAGAAACACCGGGATGGCACAAACTTCCCGATCAACACTCATTAAACTGAATATATGATTCATGAAAAACGTTCACTCGGCTATACGAAAATTTAAAACATTCCTGAGGGAAAAAAGGAAAATCTGCAAATTAGGAAAAGGCATTAGGGAATAAATAATTAAACACAAACAGTTGCACAATCCGCGAGATTTTGAATTCTTGCAGGTGAGTTGCGATTAAGTATCGACAAAAATATCTTTACCATATCGATATATATATAATTGATAAAAATTTTTCCAATGCTATATATTTCATACAATTTATTGCTGTAATTGTTTACAATTTTTGCGCTACATAAAGCGCAAAAAGTTCTAAAGAACTTGTTCAAAATTTAAAAATTTATTAAATTATAATATATATATCTCTTTGTGAATAAATCGAAAATCACCTGCAACGATGTATAGCTTACACCAATTATCACGAACTGATAATAAATTCGATCAAAATGCCAACACGATAAAACAGCTTATTGCTCTCGATATTAGCGCGACTAGCTTTTAGTATATCTCTAAATGCAGTTGCGTAATCTATCACCGGCTACGGTAATAGAGATAATTCGAGTAATAACAGTTTAAAAATATCAGGATCGTTTTCCTGCCGATCCATTGATGCATATTTAAATCGCGAAAAATTTCTCTTTTTTCAAATACTTTTTTAAGAAAATCAAGCATATAAAATTGGCGCGAGGACAAAAGGGAGTCCTAAATCGGCGAGCGACAGAATGACGCTATTCCAATTTCATCGATACCGACGACTAAAATATCCATTTTCAACTTTCCGACTCTCCAATTATGAAGGTTTTTATTTTTTATATAACAAATAAATTTAAATTAATAAGTGATCTCGCTATGAGTAATCCAATATATTTTTCATGTATTTTTATCATTGCTGTCACTGGATCTAACTTGACAATTCTTTCCGAAAGAATCTCCGTCGACGACTCGTAAGATCTAACTTTAATCTTCGTCGAAAGGAAATCTCTGTCGCCAAAGATCTGGTCCAGCGTTCTCGATTTTCGACTCGTGTTTCTCGCACCAGCCATTTTTATCGATACCAAAAAACATAATTATGTCTCGTCTTTCTAGACGCCTTTTTAAGTACGAATCACCAATAGACATTCAAAAGCGACATCGCTCAAAATTTGATTCGTGAAGTTTCCCATCCAAATTATCTTCGACACAATGTTTTGATATCATCGAAAAAATATGAATCTCGAATAGTCGTCGGGATCGATGGAGATGGGAATGCGATCGGCGGGAGAGAGGCAAAATTTAGACCCGATAGGAGTAATGGCGGTAGCTGGTGCCGCCAGGCAGACGACCGGAAGCGGTAGACTCGTAGGAGGAACGGTAGCTCCCGGGGCCGCCGCCGGACGATGTTCTGGTCGATCTCTCGGTCGAGTACGAGCCGTACGGGCCGCTCTCTCTCTTGACGACGCTCTCCTGGGTGTAGCTGCTCCTCTGCGGACGGCTGCTGTACGGATCCGAGCTGGACCCGCTGCTCGAGCTGGTGTTGGTGTACGAATAGCTGTACTGCTCTTGGGCCGACCTCACCCCAGCGTCCGGATAGTCGCGGACCACGTAGTGGCGAGGCGTCTACGGATTCGGGGTTAGATCAAGGTCAACGACAATGGAGGAGAACAGGCTCGCCTCTGGAAAACGGCGCGGCGTCTCCGTCGACGAGTCTCGGTTCGATTCGCTTTACACCCGACTTACGATTTACTGCGGTATTTATTATATACGCGATCCAACCCACGAAAGTGCAGAGTAACATAAGTCTATTTGTTAACACGTGAATCACTGATATGTCAACCTAGCCAAGAGAGATTATCGGTGGAAAAAATTGGAAATATATGTAAAACATTGGAAACGTTTCTTCAGACTTTTTTCGTTTCTTCGAATCTTGTAGAGTGGATATTGTATAAAAGTAGAGTAACATAAGTCTATTTGTTAACACGTGAATCACTGATATGTCAACCTAGCCAAGAGAGATTATCGGTGGAAAAAATTGGAAACGTTTCTTCAGACTTTTTTCGTTCCTTCGAATCTTGTAGAGTGGATATTGTATAAAAGTAACATGTGTGTATGCCAGGCATTATTCATCTCAGGATGACTCTCATGCTTTTCCATCCGCGAGCCGCTAATGGAATTTCGGATCGGGAGATGGGTTGTGAAATTTAAAGATCCTGATCATATTAGAGATATCATTTATTCGGTCGGAGAACAGATTGGAAATATCGAGGCATGGATAACATTTAAGTTACACACAAAAATGTAGAGAACCCTCTCTCTTCGAGAATTAAATTTCAAATAGAGTAAAACTTTCAAAGATATTTCATATTAAAAATGTAAAGTTGCCAAGTGAAAATCGACTTTAAATTAATTCAAGAATCTATAGAATCAATAAATTATTAATTCAAAAATATATAAATGTTCATTAAATTATATTTATGTAGAACACTGCATATTCTTTTCGGGCGTACAATTTTGCTATAAATTTTTCTTTTTTTTTTTTCTTCTTTTTCACGTGCTTCATGACGAAATGCTCGTGATCCCAAAATATTATCTGGCTCTGATCTTCGGCCGAAAGGAGAAAGAGGGGCGTGGAAGATGGAAGAACAGGTGCATCGCTGCGTCGTCTGGCTTGACGTTATCCATAACTACTTGCGGATAATTAATCCGCGGCGCGGCGAGTGACGTACTCGTTCGTTTATTCTAAGAGAGAAATTCGCGAAGCCGTTGCTCTTGGAGGAAGTACGACTGATAATACCGTGTCCAGATGGCCGGCTGGGCTCGTGGCCAGATAAGGAAAAAGTCTGAAGAGATCCAGACGACGCTGAAATCCGTTTTCATGAATTTTCATGAGAGCGATTAACCCTTCGCTGTGTCATCTCTCGCGCGGTACTCATTATTTCGCGTCAGCTGTACGGATTTTTACCATTTATAATTTCAACTTTCACAATATATAATTCAAATTCATATTTATGAAAATGTAATAAACGATTTATTTTTTCCCAAGTTAAAGACGCGATACGTATATCTTCGTCTCTCTGAGGCGATACAAATATATCTTAATCGCGTATATTTTTATAAATGAATTTATTAATTAAATATATACATATATATTTAATTAATTAATTAATTTCATTGCTCTCGATAAATAGTCAATGTAGCAATCGCGAATGACGAGGCAAAGGGTTAACGAACTCAGGATAGAATAAGGAAGTCGTATACATGACAATGAACAGTTTACTTGTTATTCGTAGAAAGGCAAAAGTATGATGGATCCCGGCGACATGTTCGCGCTAATAACATGTCGATCTATCTGTAGACACACAACGTGCGGGCCAACTATAAACGCGGAGCGGTATATAACGTATACATTTTTTAATAATATCTCCCTGCCGAAATATTCAGGACACTTCGAGCGTTGGGCAACGATACGCGCCCTTGCCAAGAAATGCGTGGGCAAAACATTATGTATATGTATGTGTACGTGTAACGTAATGTATATGTTATATATATATATATATATATATATATATGTTGCAGACATCTGTCCCGCCACGTGTGCACTCGGTGTCTCATTTCCAATCTTCTTCGAGCGCGAAACTTTGTGGCGGATTCCATCGCGTCGTGTTCACGCTTCATTGAATTTAATTACGATTAAATTGGAGCCGCTCGATTAATCGAATATGTTCGTTCCCTGACGATCGCGTGTTTGGCACGGAAAACGATTTCATTCCAGACTCGCATGCGATACACAAAATCCCGTTGACAACGAACGGGATCGAAGAGCCGATAAATAAAATGACTAAGTTGCAATCAAACTGTAAATCGTGATTTTAATTAAAATTCGAGAGAGAGGAATGTGATTTTTTTTTATTTTATAGAATATCGTGGTAAAATTGATTCTTCTTTTTTTTTCTTCCTTTTTTTTATATTCGTAAACCATTCTACGGATATTTTCCGAAAATGACTCACAATCAATCAATCGCGCAGTCTGTAACGCGACTGTGGAAATTAATGTTAAACGATTTAGTGAATATCACATATAAGGCATTTAAAGTTATTGTTTTTAGAAGGATTTTAGTCAAAGCTTGGGTGTAGACAATAAGAAATCCCTTGACTTCTTTGCAATTACGAATTCTTTCATATCGTTATATATCATTGTTTAATAATTATTATACATATATGTTTATCTTTTCGATTTAATTTATAATAATAGATGATGAAGAAAAGATGTTTTTAATTAACTTGCGATATATAACCGCGCGTGATTATGCTAAATATGAAGGAATTAATTAAACCCTCGTTTAATTAATCTAGGTCACAGTTTTGCGACAAACAGGTTTGATAAACTTGTCTCTGTAAAATGACACTATAACTTTATTGACTTTGTTTTATACATATGTGAATGTAGGACTATGCGTGAGCTACGTATCGTGCAATGTTTGCGAATAAAAAAAAATTAATCAATCAAGATTTGGTTGAATAATTCCAAAAACGAGATGCTAGAAATGCGTATGCAGTACGGAATGCACTGAAACGAAAAGCACAGAATCCTACAAGTGATTTTATATTGCGATCGCAATCACATTTCGTTTATATACTAGTCTGTTGAAAGAGAGAATTTCGAGATCGTCGCTTTTTTCCAGATTTATTACGAGAGATATTTGAAATCTACGCGTTTTCAGGCGCGTCAATCCTTCCATGAAAAAGAGTAAACTGCAAGAATTTTCGCGCCGTGAATTCACGTCAAGAACTGCAAATGAAAAATGTGTTCCATTATTTTTACATACATTCAGAGAGAAAGATTCACTAGTAATTCTTGAAAGCTCGATAATACAATCAATGTATGAACGCAAAGATACCTTTCTGATTATGTTCAGAGATAATATACATATAATTATTATTAGAATAAAATATTAATCGAAAAAACTCTTAAGAGAATAAAAATTTAACAATCCACTGAAAATATTTTTCTATAAAAAAAATTAACTGACATTAAGCCTAATTGACGATTTAATCCGCTATTGACACATCGAAGCATGAAATAAAAACAGCAAGTCTACATGCGAAGAAATTCGCAATTAACATGAAGAGAGACATCGTTACAATTATTCCCATTATTTTGCCTCTGAGATATTAATATCAATTGCATCTTGCTTTTCGAGATGAGGATTCAATGTCATCTCTCTATATCTCTTCCTCTTTCTTCTCCTCTCGGTTTTTTTTTTCGTATATTAATATCGATACCAGGACGGCGTCTGGAGAGCCATCAGGATCCTGGTGCGACCGGTCGCTGGCGTGGTGACATGTTTGACCTTGCTGGACGGTCGTGCAAGCACCCTTTTCGAAGACGTGGCCGCGGGTGGCCAATTCGGCAGCGGCATCCAGACCGACCGACCTTCGACACGGCGCCGCCGTCGATCAGCTGACGATGATGATCGGCCTTGGCAGGGTCCTTGCCGCGCACCACGCCCTCCTTCTCCGGCAGGTGGCGTACTGATAGAATTCCTTGTGCGGATCTGCTTCTTCTTGCGGCCCCAGACGGTGAACGGTTCCGGGACCAACGACGGTTCGCGGCACGAATGGCACCTTGTCCCACGGGAAGTAATCCTGCTTCACGGATTCCGTCTGCAAATTCGTGCCCGATAAACGATCCGGGCAGGATCACGAGTCCTCGAGCCATTAAACATCAATCGGGGCGATTACCGGTTATTCAGAGTCTCCGAGTTTCTCTCGATCCACAGAGTGATTCCATTGAGATCGCGCAGTCTTGATTTTTTTTTTTTTTTTTTTTTTTTTGAAAATAATATTTCCAAGTTCGAGGAGAATTGTTCACCGATCTCTTTGAGCTTCCACACCACTCTTCCACTACTGCCACGCCACGCCTGTTCTCTTTGTTAAACCGCGACCGTCGCTCGTGTTCTCCTCGATGTCCCATCCGGTGGATTTAGATTAGAATCATACGGTTAATTCCGTCTTAGCTTTCTCTTCGGTATTACCGAATATATCCACGTACAATCAGAAACGAATTTTCTTTTTGCAGGTCACGGATAAGAGGCAGCCTCGAGAGATTTCAGAGGTACCGAAAAGAGGCGCAACGTGAATCAAAGTACTGAAATAGAAGAGATGACTATTCGCCCGAAAGTGTTCTTGCACGGTGAGTGAAAGAAAACATTTGAGATAAACAATAATTCACTTTATGAACATTTAATAATTTGACGGAAAACTTATTAGGCCGAATATATTTTCAGAATAAATATAATTAATCACACAGTACTAATGTCATTAAAAAAATCATATTTAAGATTTTTGCTTGAAGATATTTAAAAATTATTTTGCAATAAGAGAAAGTCGTGATATAAAATTATCATTAACAAAATTATTAATATAGCATCTTCTTTTGACTAATTGTAAGCTATCCTCTATTTTTTATAAGGATTTATTTATAAATTCTCTATTTCTCTACAATGAAAGTGTTAGTGAAAAAGTGTCGAAAAAGGATTTAAAAATTTTGTTACTTTTTGAACGAAACTTAATGGCATATTTCTTTTCTCCGTGCAAAAATAAACAGCGTGAATAGTACTCCAAAGAGCTTGACAGTCAGGCCACATAATCGCCCCCGCAAATTCTCAAATGCTGACCACCACTTGAATAATGTCAGTGTTTATGCGCGGATAATAAAGACAACAGAATATATCGTGCGCTTTCCTATTAAAATTAGCTCTTGGTTATTATTGTCATATTTATTTTGCAATCATTAACGTAATGTGATGTCACAAGCATATTAAAATGATGACGCAAGTTTATATCTTCATTCAGATTGCCAGATTTTATTTAAATTTCAATGACACACTAATAATTTAAATTAAAATCTCGATATAAAAGATAAAGTACTAAAAACGCAACATATTTAACATTGCTTATATGAAGAAATTTATATTATAAATTTGAATTTTCAGTGCGATATATATTTATATTTCTGAGTCTAAAAATTTTACAAAAAATATATGATATAAATGATAAAATATTTAATTCGGCAGCTGACGCCAAAATATCTAATTAAAATTGTTGCCCCTGCTTTTGTATAGAATATGATATAAAAATATATTTTAGTAGTATGTAGCATTTCAATATAATTGAAAGATATTGAGGAATTGAATCTTTTTGAAGAATTTTTTTTATTGTGTTACCAGAGCCTAATATGATATCGAAATCCTATCTTTTTTTTCTATTGAAAAGTTTATATTGAAAAAGTATAAAAGCAATGATTTTTTAAAGTATAGTAGATAATAAAAAAATTTTAGTTTTTCACGCAAAAAAAAACTTTAAATAATATTCATCATCCTCTCGTTTTTTTTTAACGTCATAAAACATTGTCATAAATTATTGCGATGTAACTGAAGCGCGTTCGTCTCTTAAATCTCGATGTAAACTTGCGAAATCATATAGTGACGTGCATCGATATAAAGTTGAAACAAATCAAAAGAGTCTCGAGAGAAATTTTCTCTAACATACAGAAAAATGTCTCTTATTTTAAAAATAAGCTTCTGCAACTTTATACACAACTTTCTTATTTATGAATATATCTTGCGCTAAACGCAAAGCTAAAAAATAGAAAGGCACATCAAGATAAGGAATTACAATTTTTGAGAAATTTCACAGAAACTTACAGAAATGATACTTATACAGTACGATTTTCTATTAAAAAAAAAAACTCGCTTTGATACACATATTTTCAAAGTGTTTTCAAAAAATCTCTTTTTAAAAATCATTTATCATTTTTCATAGACACTATTTTTGATATATATATATCATAATTACAATGTTTTTCCTACTTGACGTCAAAACATATCTGAACTAAGATTACATAGCTTATATTAGGAATTTCGGAGGCGGATTATTTCTCGATATTCAACATGTGTTCCATGAAGATAGGATACGACGCCTGTACATCCGCGTCGGTTGGCGTTGGTGGGCGCATATATGAATTCTCGCGTCGACGAAATTCGACGGTGGGCGTCGGCGTTGCGCCGTCACGTCGTGCGTCTAAATTAGGGCAGAGTAACGCAAACACCGATTCTCTTCCCTCGAGACCGCGTAGCACGACGGCAAATATCTTAATAATCATCGCGTACGACGATCTGGAACGCGTTCTTCGCGCGCGTTCACGCGTACGATCCGAAGAATGGCTCCTCATTTCGAGACGAATCCAATATCGACATATAAGTACGTATACATATTAATATCGAGGGATTTTCAATCGATCGATCTCTATAAATGAGCGTATTGTTCATTCAAAATTGTTAATTTTTTTATATTTGTTTATATTCTCGCTATTAATTATCTTTAATATCATTGTAATTACTGTGCATTATAATTAATGTAATTATATATATTTCATATATATGATTATATATTATTAAATTCTAATCGCGATTTAGAATAATTACGGTGTTATATTGTTATTTTACTTATTACTATCATAAATCTAATTCCAAGCCGTCAAACGGCAAATTAGCGTTTGACAAGACAGCATTAGGATGCAAATTACTATCTAAAATCTAAAAACCATAACATTTATCCGTAAATTTGGATGAGTTTATGTTGACTGTGCTTCCTCGTTAACTTTCTTTTAACTTTATAGACGATGGCGTGAAACATTCATTAATTCTGCGAAGCGTAGTTTCTAATCTTTATAAATAGACGCGTATTAAGCACGAGCAGTTTCTCTCTCTTTTCTCTCTTTCTTCTCTTTGTGCCAATACTATAAGCAAAGCGAATCGTTATATGGCAGCCCGACACCATAACTCGAACCCTCGAAACGAGAATCTGAGAAGTATCGCGTAATTCGTGGCGCTAAAAGAGACGCATGGAACCAGAAAAAACGGCAGGATAAAATTCGGATTTAATATCGAAAAATCCAAAATCATTATAAATAGAATTGCCGGAGGGCAAGGAATTTCAGAACGGAAGCTATTCATAGCGTTGCAGCCATTTTCCGGGACTTTGCGGTGTTAAACTTAGATACCGCGTGACCCAGCGAATCTCGAATCCACCAGTAGAAAAAAAAAATAAATTTGGCCGACGATCCGAGTCGAGCCCTGTGAGCAGGACTCGGTAGAGTACGTATATATTAAAGGTTATCAAATTATGTCTGAGAAAGAATTGCACCGCAGTTTGAAACGCAACAAGTTCGGCTTCAGCTGCCAAAATATCTGTGACGCCACAGTATTGATGACGACAATGATAAATTCGTATTCCTCGAATTCGTGAAATTTATATCCCATTCGATATCCGACGAACGAAAATACGTAAAATAATTCGTAATTAAAATGTCCTGTTATTCAAATTATTCGTGCATGAAGTAATGTTATCTTTAATTTCGAAACTCATTTATTTTTGACTCGTGTGACGCTCTTAAAATCACACACATTTGACACCCTACTTTATTTTATAAATTCTTACATAAATAAAATGTTTTTTTTTTTTTTTTTTCATTCAGATCAATGCACTAAAAATATTTTCTAATTTCAAATAGTGACTATATTATTAATTACTGTCTGCTCTCCCTCTTCTTTTCCGGATGTAAAAGATTTAAGCTTCGATGAGCTAAGAATTGAACATAATTCTTAGGTATATAATTTCCTTTGCAAAAATATTTTCCTGTCAACTCTATGCCACTAATCTTGCGCTGTCTGCTTATCATCGGACCAGTGATCAATAGCAATCCCTAAAGTTAACCCAGATTCCTGGTCCCTCGACGATTCGAACTATGCTTAAGAGAGGTTTCTCAGATAGCGATAGAGTCGAATCTCTATCGAGTAAAATTAATGATATTAATATAGCAATAAAATAAAGCTTTTGAATCTTTCTTAAATGGTATTTTTAAAATTTAGAGAATTTATGTTACGATAATTTTTCAGAGAAAACTAAATAAATTAACAATAGGTTTACAATAATTTTTTTTTTTCATAAAAACATAATATTTAAAAAATATTATAATAATATTCTCTTTCTCTGCTTGCACCTGTTTGTCGTATCTAATTAACATCACTCATTCAATTCATTGAATTCGCGTGATAATCATCGAAATATATCATTATAACATCAATCAAAAAAGGTCAAATATCGACCGATAATTAGCAACATATTGTTACGCGGATTTTGCAAAATCCGTGAACGGTTTTCACAATAATGGATCGAGTTACGGCAATAAACAATTAACACAGACAATGTGCGGCGAGTCCTGTCGCACGCACACCACAATTTCCCCGATCGTTTCAGGGTCATGGACATGGACATGACAACGTTTATAGAACAAGAACTAATATACTATCCCTTGAATTTATCAAGAGTAGTCATACTAAACACGAAAACAAAAAATTACAAGGATAAATCACAAGACCGTAAAGGTTTCTTGTACGAATCCATTTATCCCGTGGACTCTGCAGAGTTTTCTGCGGTTATTTGTACATAATCCGCCTTGTATTATTAGAAAAAACACAACAAAAAACAGAGAAACATTTATCGGATTTCTATCAAATCAGGATTTGTGTTTCGCGAGATTGAATTTGCGAGTTCCATGAAACTGTGCGAAAATATGAGAATAGTATATGATAGTTTTGTGAGAGTCTCTGTGTTTTTTCGCCTCTGAACTCTATCACCCTTGGAACTCTCCCCATCCGGAAAGTTCAATCGTTCACCGATTTCCGGGACACCGAGTGCACGTTTTTTCTTTTTTTTTCGAGTACAGGAGCAGTAGTAATAGCTGTAGTAGTAATAGTAGTAATGGTAGTAGTAATAGTAGTAATAGTAGCAGTAATCTGGTAGTATAGTGCTAGTATAAAATAGTAGTAGTAGTGATATATAAACACAGTGGCCGGAGTGAAGTGTGGAAGTCGAGATCTGTCTCGGTGATGATTTTCTTTTGGCGAGTCGCGACGCGTCGAGCTCGACGACGAACAGCAGCGACGAGGAGGATCCTCGTGGGAATCCTCGAGGAGGAGACGGAGAACGCTCGGATCATCTGGGCGCTTCCGGTTCGCGTCGCTCGCTCTTTGTCGTCGATCGACCTCGTCGACGGAACAAGTGCCAAGTTCTCAATCGTCGCTTCGTCTCGATCACGACATGTCGGTCGCGACCGCAGCAAAATCGCGACCGACCGAATGCGGGTCAACGTTGCTCATACTTTGCTCTGTGTGTCTCATTTTGCTCATCTTCTTAAGAATTAGAATTCGCGAGTTAAATCGATATTTATATGACGTTACTCTAATTTTTTTTTCATTGAAAATCTCGATATTTTTCTTCGAAATATTTGTAAAACTACACGGAGTGAATTTTCTCCTAGAATTTACTCTGAAAATCATGGCAATCGTGGGACAATATATGCTATTGGAAGAATTTAATAAGAGTTTCTCTGATTAATATTTATACCATAATAAAAATACATATGTTTTATCTTATTGTGGTAATATTTTTATATTATTTGTGGTTTTATATTATTTTTATTATATTTGTGGTAGATAATAATTTATATTTTTATAATTTTTATTGATTTTCAGGGTAAAAAAGAAAATTCTCTCCGTATATTAATTTAAAAATGTATTGTTATTTTTTTTTAATTCAATAACAATCAACGATAGAAAAATCTACCAATGCCACACACGCCGACATAGTGGCATTAAAAATTAATAAACAGAGCATTGCAGACAGTTTTGCTTACATTTATAATTCACTTTATTATCGAAAAGCTATTTTATATACATATAGTCTAAGATTGACATTGAGACACAGTGAATAAAACATATAAGAAATCATTAAAAAATTATTTAGTTCTGTAACATCGATTGTATGTTCTTATTATCTTTCAATATGCAATTAGTTTCTTTTAAGAGAAACTCGAGAAATCTAAGTTAGAATTTTTCAACTATTTAATCTTCTAATTAATTAATGAACACATAAAAACGTTGACCCCATCCAGTGATTGATTTAATCAATTATCGATCATTGTTTAACCCGTTTTGGCTCGAATCAATTTTCGACTTTTACCTCGATCTTTCACGTAATATGCTGCTAAGAATATATATTTTAAATATGAATCTCGCGTTATACTGTCGAAGATCAGGAAACGTGGCATGTTTTATTTCACAAAATATAAATCAAAGAACCATCGAAAATTTTGAACATCAATCAAAGACGGGTTAAATCTCTAAAGATCGATATATCAAATGAGACGTCGACGCGATCCAACGAGATCACCCGGGATGCTGATTTTGGCTACTACAAGGTACAAGGGGTGGGCACTTCCTGTTGCAAACGGGGCTCTCTCTCTCTCTCTTTCTCGACGTTAGTATCACGTATAGCAAAAATTAAAAAAAAAATATTTCCAACCCGCCCTTCTTCGGCGCAAGGAAATATAGTAATTAAGAAAAAAAATGCAGAATCTCTGAAAAAATACTGACCGTGACGGTGTAGGACGAGACGACTGGCCGCGAGTAGGGTCGTCGAGTCGTGTAGAAATCGCTCTCGTAAACCATGGTTGTAGCTGTTCGCTCGCCCGGTCTACTCTCGAAGTTTTTCGGGTTCTTGACTGGTTTGTCGAGGAGTCAGGCTCGAGCTCTCTCAACAGACGTGTCGTATTTTCGTGCGCGCGTGCGAGGGTGAGGATACGCGACGACGATGCGGTCGCGATGGAGGTTCGTATGTTTCTGCCAGGTTCTGCTTCCCCTGACTACCGACACCTTCCTCTTCTGCTACTTCTTCTTCTTCGTCCGGACTCTCCTCTCCTCGATGGTCCCACCTCGTCTCTGCTCGTGCGAGAATATTGCATCACTCTTGCGGTCCTCTTCGGGAGAACAGTGATGCATCCGCGAAAAAAATAGATTCGTGTTAAGGTTGCAAGCTCTCGGACCTTAACACGTCGTCAACGTCGTCAATTCTCGTGATAGGGAGATTATCCCAAATATAATGTCTCAAAAATGTCTTTGTATGAGGAAAGAAAGAGAAATTGTTTTTTGGAATTTTGTTGGAAACTTAATAATTCCATTCTGCAACGAATCATTTTATTTCTTTGATTGATCAGTTTTTATGTCTTGTTTGTAATACGAAAGTTGACGTCTGGATCTGCAGCCAGAAAAATGTACATTTGTAAAAATGATATTTTTAGAATGAAATACGGCTCGCATTCTGGAACTAAACAATCGTGTCAAGGAACATTTAACATTTTTTTCTCCCACGTGGATATAAATGTATCTGTCCTCATTTTTTTTTGTTGTTTATTCATAATATGTTGCAGAAAATTTCTCATTATTTTAAGTAAAATTTTTTTCATTATCTATGAAAGTATTGCAAGAGAATTTAAGGAAAATATCTACTTCGGCATCAACTTAGTAATTAGTGCTCCATATTGAAAATTTGCATCGTTCAGGCTGTATTTTTAGAAGAAGAAATAATTTTCTTAACTGTACACAGTTGAAAAATTTGTGTTATAAATTTAACAGATATTACATGTCCCATAAACGGTCCACAGAAATTTTGTATTAATTTAACATAATATGGATATGTGAAATGAAGATACAAATATTGTGTTAATATTTTAACACAAAATAAATGCAATATTTCAAATAATTTAAAATAAATTTTGTGTACAATTAATATAGTTTTAATATAAAAATTAACTGAAAATATGTTAATTTTAGACTTTATCATCCCTACTTATAAAATAAAAATCAACATTTATAAGTTCAATTAATACAACAGCAATATGTTAAATTAACACACGCGAATGTGTTCAATATTTAACACAAAAATTTTAACAGGAACCGTTTTTAAGAAAACACAAATTTTCCTACTGTCTTTCATTATCAAAATTTTTTCTCATCCAATTCACGTAACTGTCAATATACAAAACGAGCGGAGGAGATTCGTAAAAACGACACGATTCATCCGCGTTTGTTTATTCGCGGTCGTAATGTATACAATAATATATTTACGTTACACACATCAGATATTACACTGGCAGTCCCCCAGAATTTTGCACAATGGTCAAATTCAGTGCCAAAGTTTACTCGTAGAATATGTAATGCGCAGATCGTCGGATTACTGCGAGATGAGGTAAATATGATTTGCGGAGTGAAAAATAAAATCGTACCAACCAACATATCGAAACGATATTTCAGTGTAATTTTCCAAAATCTTTCTTTTTATCCTCATCTGACATTATTGTAAAATAAGAACGTAATATGACAATTTTTATCGATAATATGCTACGATAACCCGATTCTGAAATTCGCGATAAAACATTCGGTACGAATTGTTTATTCCGAGAATGACAGAAGCTAAATTTTGAAAAGCAAAGAATCTAATACAAATGCAAATTATTGCAATTTTCTTCGTTTTAACAAATCCGTAAAATAAACCGCTCTAAATTATATATAAAGACTTGCAATCGCAGACGCGGATTGCTACTCGAAAAGAAATTTATTTAGTCGACCGGAGACAAATGATAAATCGTTCAGATATTTTTACAATTGAAAGTCTAGCGTCATAAATCTCGCGAAACGGAGACAAAGATTATTCCGCGTCACTCGAAACAATATTTCTGCGACAAACGATTAGACGAGCGATATAGTATCTATTTTTCAAGTCACTGGTTCCACTGTTTGAAAGACAATATAATATCAGAATTTAGATCTTCGAAAATTTTTCAATACAGGAATTGCGAAAAAAATGGATAGAACGATGCGCTCTTATATTTAACGATAAAAATATTTAAGTTTTATAAAAAAAAATTATTCTAACATACACACATGTCTCCATATACATATATAACCCAATAAAAAAATAAGAAAATGTAAAAGATATAGTGAAAAATGTATGAAAAACGTTTATCTTCTGAATTTATATATCAAATTAATAGATCGATAAAAATAGGCTTAATATAAAACCCCGTTTAAATTCGATGTCTCAGCGATTGTCGCGATTATCTTGTGAATTTTAATCTAATAATTGTCTCGAATAATTGCATATTGCTTTATTACGATTGCACAAGTTTATGAAAATGCGCATTTTTCGAATGCGATATTTGTATGTATGTGCTTTCATAACAATATTATTTACCTTTTATACATTGGTCTATACAAAATGTTGCACAAAACACACCTTTCTCGTTGATTTGTGCAGTAGACAAATGTCGATATATGGCGAACACAGTATAAGAGTTTTAATAACAAAGAGATAAACAACTGTCACACAAAATTAGTCTTCGTTGGGTCAGTGAACCTTTGGCTTAGCTGACTTTGTCTTCTTCAGCTTCTTCAGTCCACTTATATTTGTCTTCAAAAGATTCCAATAAGCCTGTTGGAATTTGTTTACATCTTTGGAATGAATCTGTAAAATAAAAGCACATCATATTAGAGAAATATAAACAAGTTATTGTAATCTACTGGTGAAAAACAGATACATACAACAGTTGCGATTTTCTTACTACGTAATGATGCTCGAACTAGGCAAAGATACTCTGTCGGATTTGACAGAGGAGGCCTGCCTTTCCTGGGTACAGGTTTATTATGTCCATTAACTGCAAGAGAAATAGAGAACCTTTTAATGCAGATATCAAGAGAGGAGAAAGAACTACATAAAAATTAAAAAAAGCATATAGATTTTCATTGTTAAATCCTTAAATTTTTTTTGTCAAATGTAACTCGATAAAGTTAGAGGCCAGTGTTTTTCAAAAAAATTAATGAAAAATTTTTGACGTTTCAGGAATTACTGAATAAATAAAATCGAGAATACTCACATCTTTTGATAGTGAGTGACACAGCACCAGACAAACGCGACTTCTCAAAGAGTTTGGTTAGCTCCGCTAAGAACTGCAATCAAGATTCAATTAATCTCTCGCGTTTGAGGAAACGATGTAGCGACGAAATGTCAAATTACCGCGTCGTTCTCCAGTAGGACCATTCTGACGAAGGTAGCATATGTCAAATGTCAAAAGCCGTCGAAAGCAGTCGCTTAAAGGGATTGGAACGAAGAGGTTAGAAAATGCAGCCGCAATTCTTGCCCACACTGACAGAACCATTAACTATACGAGCCTCCTAGAAGACGATCCGCTTAGTTGAAATCGATCGTTCGTAATAAATATTATAAAAATTAAATAATATTAATAAAAATTAAATGTGCAAAGTAGAAACCGTAGGAAATATTTTTGTGCAATTATAAATATTTCTACCGCAAAATTCATGTTTTTGCAGGTTGGGAAAAGTCGTCGCTAAATTCATAAGGCGGTCTCCTCTCTGAGTTTACCTGTCATTTAATGGTCAATGGCTGCCACCTCATCGTGTTGACGAATGTTTCGTGCAACCGTGGAATGCGTGGAACCTGCTGCTAATTGTCAGAAGCCACCGGAGCCTTTCCAGGACGATCGTCGACGACGACAGCAACCAGGATGAGCCAGGTCCACGTCAGAGCTCTCCTGGCGATTTTCTTGATCGCTCAGGCTCACTGTATCATGTTCTACCTAGAACCAAACAGTCACAAGTGTCTGAAGGAGGAGGTCCACGCGGATGTTCTCGTTACAGGCGAATACGAGGTGTCCGAGGCGATGAATCAGAAAGTTGATTACGTGGTGAGTGGATTGTAATCCATTATAGGACATCTTTTCATTCATCAACTGTCAAAATAGCTCTGTAGGAGCAGAGGTTAGGAGAGACGTCTAACCACACATGTCAGTTTCAGGACTGACAGCTGGGATAGAAAATTTGCTATTTTCTTCTTAAATAATAATAAACATTTTAAAGTAAAATCACTTTTTAAAAGTAAATATTATATTGTAATACATTTTTTGTTTATAGATACAAGATTCCAAAGGACACATATTGTCCCAGAAGGAGGATATTCCTTATGGAAAACTGTTGAAGTTTTCTTTTGTAACTGAAACTTATGACACTTTTGAAATATGCTTTGCTTCACATGTTCCAAATCGTATGTATACTCAAGTTTTTTATTTAATTTATCATACTGTATTTTGTGCTATTATTAATTTGATTAGATTGCAACTGGACAAGTACATATAAAAATTGTATACCTAATAGATTTGTATATAACATATAAGATTATATATATATGTATATTTTTGTGGAGAAATAGCTTTCCCGTTTCAATATAAAAATATTTCAGATCAACGTGGTGTCAGACAAGAAGTTCTATTGATCATGAAACGTGGCATTGAAGCAAAGAGTTATGAAGGCGTAAGTCCATACATTATATATCATTATAAATGATTATATTTATTACAAATTATGTATCTATCCTATCTTCAGAGCATCGTGTTATGAGAAAAATTATCTGATATTATTTTATCTATTTTCTTTTTATATATGGCTTATTTCTGCGATGCAGTTGGTAAAGTAGAGATTTCAATATTGTGTTTTCACATAGCATGCATTTCGTCACAAATTGGCATTTGTACATTATAATCAGCCTAAGATTAAGTAGTAGAGTATAGCACATTTTTCCTATTTTGTGCATGATTTTACTAGCGATGTCCCATTAATAAAAAGTATATACAAATGTTGGACATTAAAATCAATTATATTTACTCTACTATTTAACATATTATATTCTGTTAACAGAAATTTTTATTGCTGAGTTATTATTATATTTAAGATAAATTAAAAATAATTAGAAATTTCTATAGAAAACATCTTTCATATTTCTAGATTTAAAAAGAAAGTTAATGGGTATACATTTATATAACAATAGTGTAATAGTGACATTGGCTAATAATATTTTTTTCCAGTAATATTAAAAATACAAAATACTAAATAACTTGATTGTACAATAACTTCAGAGATTGCAATATATGTATATATTTTGTTGTATCTTAATATTTTTTTGTTTCTAAAGTTTGGTAAAAATTTGATTTTTAAATAAAATTTGTGTGAATATTTATTTGGCATTGTATTAAAATTTCTTTATTTCTTTTTTTCGAACAAATATTTGAAGCTTTTGATATAAAACTTACATTCAAAATAAGATTTTTAAGAATCAAGGACTTGAACAACTAACTTCCTACATATTTAATCAATTCTACATAATTAATTTATCATATTTGATCGAGCTCAAAGATTAGAGCTGCAATCTTGAACTTCGCCTCATAGTATTTTCTGTTGCTTCATAAAAACACATACACATAAAGATTATTCATTATTTGGCTTTAATTATGTAGTATATGTGTTCCTTTTTTCGTTTGATACTAACAAGACTGTGGAAATTTTTGTTTTCATCAATTTTCAAGAGAATTATATTTTTTTTTTTCATGAATAATAGATTGGTGAAGCAGCCAAGTTAAAACCAGTAGAAGTGGAATTGAAACGATTGGAGGACTTGTCTGAGGCGATAGTGCAAGACTTTGCTAGAATGCGCAAAAACGAAGAAGAAATGAGAGATACAAATGGTAAGGAAAAAATATATCGCTTAAAATAAATATAAGATATTCTGCAGCCAATATTGCCATCTCTCCAACAGCAGAAAAAAATGATTTTATTAAAAAGAGAATAAATTTTAAACTTTTAAACAATTGATGCAATGTACTTTTCAGTAGTTTTGTGTAGTTTTGATGATATTCTAATTTAATTAATGTTTTTTTTATTTCAGAGGCCACAAACACACGAGTGTTATACTTCAGTTTATTCTCGATATGCGTTCTTTTTGGTTTATCCACCTGGCAACTCTTCTATTTCCGGCGTTTCTTCAGGATGAAGAAACTTATAGAATAGATTCATTACAAATTTATTATTTTTGAATTTCAGTTTTTGTTATTTGCAATTTCATATTTAAATGCAAATTCATATATCATAAAACACTTTTTATATTTGCAACAAACATAAAAAGAATTTGAAATAAACAAGCAAAAACAATGTTACAATCATATTACCACAATTTGAATCAATGTAAAATACGATAGAACTTCTTATCATCTCACTAAATAACGCGCATATATCACGTTATCGAAAACGTAATATTTAAAAAAAATGTAAAATAGATTTCTTAAATAAAAGAGATTATTGATAATAATCACATTTGTCTTAATTTCTAATTATATTAGTACATAATTTTTGAATTCACCTTGCGAGACTCAACTTTGCATGGCTTTTTCAGAAAGTGATATATATATAATTATAAAAGTAACAGTATATATATATATTGATAAATATAAACATATATGTCATTTTTAAATTAAAAATTTATGTAAGAATATCTAAAAGTAACAAAAAGCACATGAATTAAATTCGAAAACAATGGTCTTTTTAAAGAGAGGATATAGAAATTAATCATCAGTGTATAAAATACAAGAAACAGTCCATTGTTTTAACATTTTATTTATAAAATAGAATCATCTTATGTGGGAACAATAAATGATTTAAAAAATATAATGAAGAAATATCGCTTGGAAGACAATTTATTTGTCAGTTCAAAGGCGGATATCTTAAAATGTTTTTGGATGATTCAAAATAGATATCCAATCGATTGTAAAATATTATAGATTGTTATTTTGTTCGTATAATCTTAAAGAAGCAACATTATATCTACCTCGTATACGAACAAAGATTTAATATTATGTATAACCTAGACTCTTTTCTTATTTATGTTTTTATTTTTAGAGCCAGAAATTAAATGAATGGCACACGAGGTGATCGTAAATGTTCTAAAGTGCAACTTTATACTCACAGTTGAATATTCTCTTAGCGCTAAGTATGATAATCTTTTTTAAGATAAAACGTTTTACATTGGAGTGTGAATGTATTGTCATTGGATACTGCCGAGTTAACTCGAGCTAATTTGTAAAGATACATTTTAACAAAACGTTTGTTCTTTGGCAATATTTGCAATAGAAAAATAACATATATATGTATCTTTTACTAAATGATTCCTTATCACAAGATAAATGAGTGATTAAAAATAGGACTCGACATAAGATTCGAACATTGTTAATAGACATAATAAATACAAGAAAAGAGACCTAAATTGTGACAATCAAATTACATTTCCTACTTATCACGATAAATTACAGTTTCGTATAAAGCTATTCATAAATAGTTATACATTTGAATGAAATGCTTGTCTTTCGAAATAAGATAATAATTTCTTTTGTACACTAAAAATATAATTCTTTATCACAAAACGAGCGATTAAAATGTAGTTTTATGCAAATGATAACAATTCGAACTAGGTACATTATGCTATTGGATATAATAACCATAAAGAAAAGTTATAGACTGCGACCATAAAATAATATATCATGTTCATTGCAATAAACTACAGTCGCTATCATTAGTATTTTAATGTAACAATTATTACCGTAGACATTAATCGACAATAATTAATGCCACGAGATAACAGAGATGTAAGCCGTATTTGTTATTGTTATTTATATTATGCTCATTTCTACTTATATACTAATATAACATTTATTTATTATCGCAATAACTCGGACTGTCGTTATTTTATTAGGCTTATTATCTTTTATTATTTCATCTATACCGTTCGCACGGTATCTATTCACAGTAAATGTTTGCGTGTCTGAAAGTTTGTACAGATTCACAATTAGGTATTTCTTAAATGAACGTTATACAACAAGAAATTCGTATCAACATATTTTATTTGAGACTATAAGAAATTTATCTTTTTTCTTCTGATTATTTCTCAATATTAAAATTAATTAATAGGAAAACATGAAAAAGGGAAAAAGAAATCCATGTTTCAACGTTAAAGTTGATGTCACAGATATATATAAGAATATGTAACTTTATAACGCATAAATTCTTAAACTTTTCTCTTTAAATTTTTATAATTAGTAACTCGTGATAAAATTAATTCGCCAATTTTTAATATAATTAATTTATTGTTGCATAACGCTATCTCAATACTACAGTTTACCTGAGAAGGCCAGTTAGATGGGATCAAAAGCAGTTTTGCAACTATTTTTTTTTTTCATTTGTACGTTCATAAAACACTTTGTTCCCTTTATATCTAAAACCATTTAACATGAGACAAATATATATATATTTTCTAAATCTCTTTTTAATTTCAAATATCGTATTTTTTAAATCTTTGGCAAATCTGAACTTTTTTTTCACACAAAATTGGATTCTATTTCTAAAGACACAGCTTTCTAGTTTTCTTATTTTCAAGCATCTGAACATTTAGACATTAAGCGCTAAATCAAATATGTGAATCTTAAAATAAAAATATGAGAATCTTACGAAAAACCATTATTTTCATATCTTGATAACCAGCTAGTTTTTTTTAAGAATTCCTAATTTTAGGAAAAATATATCTTCCCTTGATAGGTACGCGTGACTCAGAGAAAGAGCGCTATTCTTAGCGCATATAATGTGTACTCGTGTGAGGAATAAATTAAGTCCCATTTGGACTATGACGACGTGTTGTGGGAAGAATTGTCAAGGCGGAAATCATTTGTACTGAGCTGTGGAAGCTCATCGCTGATCGTTAACGGCTTACTGCCGTTTTTAGACAGTCAAACCTTCGCGTTCTGGCGTCTTAGATCGTTGGGTATCATGATCGTGAGCAAGGTACCGATCCCGAGGCCGATGCACATCGCGACGTTTGCTTTTAAGTCGCCCAAATTGTTGAACAGAAAACCGTAGAGCATTGTGAAGGCGATGCCGAAGACTTGCACCACCGCGTTCAACAAACCTGCCGCAGTTCCTTCCGGTTCCGGATACGTAAGTTCAGCAGCGAATTCAAAACCGACCGGCAGATAACCGGTAATGAAGAAGCTGAAAATATAATATATTAATAAATATATTATAAATATTATATTATAAATATTAATAAATATTTTAAAAGCGATATCTATCAGTTATGGACAAATTTTTAATAAAAAAAATTAATTTTAACGACAAAGCTTTTAGCAAATTCTGGTCAAAAATGTAGAGTGTCTTATAAACATTTAGAGTCAATATTTATAAATTAAAAAGCGTAAATCGTAAAGCATAATGTAAGATATATAATATTTGTAACAATAAAGTTCTTCTAAAATAATTTTCTGAACAATATAACAAAAATAATCGCTAGATTTTACCCCAAGAGGCCGGCTGTAATGTAGACAACATATATCTCTTTACTGTCCAGTGTCAAAGTAAAGACTATCATTCCAAGGAGACAACATAGGTAGATCACTAACGTAGTCTCTCTGAAAATTTATACATTTTTCGTTTTAATCACATAAATTATCATTCGATGGATGAAATAAATTGAAATACAGATATGTATAATTTAATGATAAATTATTCAATCAATATATCTTAAATCCTCTGATAAGATTTTACAATAACTATTATCATAAATTTTTACTGATTTAAAAAAATCGAAATAATTTGTTGAAATAATATTGCTATTTAATATTGTTAAAAATGTGGTTTCAATTTTTAATAAAATCATATTATTTGACAATATTAAAATAAAAAAGAATTCGTTTACTTTCGTTTACTCACTTGAATTTGTGTGTTTTATCCAATATAACGCCGCATATAACGGAGCTCAGCATTCCAGTGCAAACTATTGTTAAACCGATACGACCGGCATCTTCTTCATGTCCCTGAAAGGAAGAAAAGTTTAAAAGTAGCAAATTCTTATAATTTTTCAGAGAATCGAGAAAGGATACTCATATTGAAATATTTAACATTAATAAATAACAGTTTGTAAAATAAAATTCAAAAAAATATCAAAAGAAGCAAGAATTAGCAGTTTTCAGGAGGGAAAATACCTACCCGGAAATGTTTGAGAATAATTTGATTCAAGAGGGTGCTTATGGCGTAAAGGACGGCGATATTGATGCCGTAGCTGAATAAAAGCAACACATAACCGGTATTGGTAAGCAGCCTCTTAATAGAAAGAGAAAATTTCTCGTTCACAGTGTTCTCTCTTTGTACAGCTTGAGCAGGGCTAGGTGGTAAAGGCGGTGCTGACTTGAAGACTGGTTAAAAATAAATTACTGATTTCTATTAAGTGATAAAAGAAAATGTGCACGTCTTGACAATAAAATTTCGGAGCTGATTAAAGAAAATATAATCTTGTGAAAAGACAAAACATGTATATTATTTGCACGAAATATAAGTTTCTTGATACTGAGATAAACGTTCATAAAATATAAATGTAATATTTTATAAAAAAATTATCTATAAATATTATCGTTTTTCGATTTGATCTTCTTTTTGTAGCGAAATATTCAAATCATTAAATCATTGAAAAGATGGATCATATCATTAATTATCATCGCTTGTTAAATAATATCTTTTCTAAATTTTTCAGCTTCCAAAAATTTTATTATCCGATAACATAACTATTATATAACTATAAGTGAAGGTTCACGTACAGAATAATATGAAGACTAATATAAGCGTCGTAAAAGCCGCGACGAGATAGAACATAAGTCGCAACCCTCTTTCAACGTTGCAGACATTGTCGCTGTTGGGCACTAACATCGGTGGAAATAAAAAACCAATAGCTATACCTAACTGCAACAAAAAGCCAAGGGACGAATATCCTAAGTTGCATTCAAATTTTCAGGAAAAAATATTTGAAAGAAATATTTCTTGTATACGTTTATTTTTTCCGACACACATAATGCTTATCTTAAGAACGTTTAGTATATATTTATAACAATTGAAATTAGTATTGCTCGTATTTTCACCACATTTTTACTTATTATCATCGAAGCGGAACGTTTCCGTTTTCAGTTGTTAAAACAAGTCATTTCTGTATATAGGTCAATGAAATGTATTTCATAAGAACACATATCGAATACATTAAAATTATATATATTTTTTTTAATAATACGAAAGAAACTGGATTTCCTACTCTAATTGTAAAAATTGTTTAATATTAAAAAAATGAGACATTGAGATTCATATCGGATACTTTCTCCCTTTTGATAATTCATTCTAAAGACGTGTCTGAAAATTCGGATTCGTAATACGAAAGCAAGTGTAAAATACATAGAATTGAGCTTCCGTTTTATCTATTGCGAAATCGATGTAATTAAGGCGTGACAGTCTTCCCCGATAAAACACACGACGGCTGATAAAATGATAGCGGCTGCACACAGTCCGCACCTAGGATCAATTGAATCCTATGATATAGGGTGAGCTCCCGCACAGACACCGGCCGATCTGCCTGTCGAGGTAGCGAAATTAATCGTGGGTGTCCACTTGGACTCGGTTTCCCACCTAATCACAGTCACAATTTAAATCTCCCGAAGTACCCTTCGTCGATTAGCGAGATACTCCAGACTGTCACTTCCGCGCGCAGGGATCTATTCTCGTTTGCCTGCACGTGCAGCGACACGTGTCGCTGTAACAATCGAATATCTTCTCAATGTCGTGCATTTTTTAAATATATAATAATAATTTGTAATGTTACGTTTGATGAAAAACAAGTTATATAATAACACTAATTATGAGAATTTACCTCAAGAGAGACCAATTATCTCGCGTAATAAATTTCTAAGAATTATTATACATATATTTCTATAACGATTGATCGAAATATTCTGTACAGAATTAAATTAAATTTGCAACACAAAAAATTAAGAATTCATTATAAGTAATAATAATCACGAATAATAATGCAAAATTTGAAAAATTTTGAACATACTTCTGCGTGAATTCTTTTCAATTGATTATCGAATATTAAATTGAATTGCATTCCATTTGGATAAAAATTTGTGCAGATATGTAATTTGAAAGATATTAATTTGGAATAAAACAAGATTATCGAGATATTTTTTCACATATATTTTGTAATCTATTTATAAATGAGAGAAATATAAAAATTTGAATTAATATCCATATCGTGTCGAGTAAATGGATTTATCTCATCATCGGATTACATCGATTGTCTATTATCGCGCGTTCTTGATTCGTGCAATCAGAAATCATTTTATTGCGTGGATTAACAGTTGGCGGCGCTTTGTGCTTCGTGAAGTTAACACGTTTCTACATCATGGTTCTTCCATTTTCACGAAGATTATTTTGTACAAAGATAACGAGAGAGGAAGAAAGAGTAAAAGATATTTATAGAAAATTAAATTGTTACACTATTCAAAAAGTAATCCAAGGCAAACGTTAATTTAATTTTTTAAAAAACTTAATTTTAAAAAATTTTAAAGATCAAGTCTCCTCCAAATATCAAACTCAAGTTCTATTTCAGATATAAGTTTTTATAAATTTTTAATATAATTTTAATATAATTCAAGGGCAAAAATAAAGGTTCTAACGATATAATAAAAAATCAATTAAAAACATATTTTCTTAAATTATCAAGTCTCCTCTAAACATCAAACTCAAGTTCTATTTCAGATAGCATACTTTAATATGATGCATCAAGATATTTGCATACCTGGTTGCCGAAAACACCGATGCTGCAGGCGCTGCTAACTTGATCTGGACCGAACCAAACCGCAGCCAGTCGGGCTGGAACTGACAGAACGAAGGTTTGACTAACTGCAACCAAAGTTTGGCCGAGGAATGTGATCCAGAAGCGATCGGTAGCTATGCTGAACACCTTAATCCAGGAACCGAGAGCAGTTCCGAGCGCCCCGAAGATCACAGCATATCTAAGACCCTAAAATTCCATCCCACACGAGATGCTATCATTTACATATTAATAAGCAGGAATGTGCGATGGTATGCGAAATGAAATTTGTCGGATCAATATCAATGATTACTTGAAAGAAAGTGACTTTCAAAAGATATCGTCGGTGAGATTAAATCCGGCTATCCTGTCTTGGCATTGTATCCAAACTCGTTTATATCAATGAACAATCGGTAAAAATTATTTATTCGAAATAAGAGGAATGTTATCGTTCGGTGCTACAACATGTACTACAAGTTTTTAAATTATGCAAACTTTACGGCGCCGCCACAACTCGCTACCATACCTAGAAAAATCAGACAAGTCGGAAAGTCGAATTTTTCGAATTTTATTGTTGCTCTTTAATCATTTCTACGTGAACGGAAAATTCACAATTCAAGAGAATGTATGTGTGATCGTTCCGTAACATAGTATACGCAAGTTTGCACAAGTTCGCTCTACTCTATCATTAATAAGATTATTACTTACAAACTTATTGAGCAGATAACTGGCGGGAAATATCAATGGAATGTATGTTATCATATATATCATGCTTGTCATGTCTATCAGGAAGCTCGAAACATTGTAATAGCGCATTACAATGTTCGCTATAATACTGTATTGGATCCATTGCATGGCGTTGCTCGCGCTGTACAGCACGAAGAGGACAAGCATCAGCCATCTTTGCTTGTATATTTTAATCTGTACGCCCTGTAATCAACATTTAAGCTTTCAATTTTTTATGTACGAATATCTAGACATTATAATATATTACGTAAAAATTTAGCGGCATTATCAGCTTTTTGTTTTATGTCATCGATTGGAAGAACAAAAATTGCGAAGAAATTGATGTTAGCTTATTACATCGATCGTAAAATATTATATACATTATATTAAAATAATATTAAAGCATTTTTTAGATAATTCCAAAGGACACAAGATTATATACAATTTTCTTCTATAGGATTTCGTGATATTTTCAGGAAAAAATCCATCTACTTTAAAAAAATATAAATCGAAAAAAATTTTTTTAAACATTTAATTAAACGTATTAAATAAATTTAATATTCTAATATTTACATAAATTGTATCTTACTGAAGAAAAAAAGATGGCGCGTCAATTCGAAGTGAAGACTCTTTCGCTAATTTTCAATTTTTCTATTTGATTTTCTTCTCTTAATTCAGATTAATTCTAACAGAATTATTCACCTGCGACGGTTGCATATCACCTTCAACAGTTTTTATGTAATCACCGGAGGCTTTCCCCATTTTTTCAGACACTTGTGTTTGTTCCGACTCCATGATTAATATTAATAATATTAACAAGATTGATTGAATCGAGTAGAGATATCGTCAGGAGATGAATCAAAACGGTTTTTTCTCTTTCATTAATACGGCTTTAATTCCTAAAATCCAAACAAATATTGATCTTACTTCTCGTGTCTTCGAACATATACTCTTTACGTATTAAATATTTCGATAAAAATACAAAATCAATGCAATAAAAAATACAAATGTCAAAACTAAAAGTCGACATTTAAACATTATGGAAACACTTTGCTAAAACACCACTATTTGTAAAGAATATTTATATTTATCGTGTCGCATGGAAGTCAAATATTTTTGCGAAATTAAATCGGAAATTAATCTACAATTTCCAAGAAATATATTGTATATACATATATGTATGTAGATAGGTACATAATCGGATGCGCATCTAACAAGACTAAAATAGATTCGTATGAATCACTCCAAATGCTGAATATTTTTTTATCATATGAGATATTCAAAATTGAATAAAAATCTGATTTCTCTTCTCTTTCGATATTCCTGATCAATTAGTAATATTATGTTACGAATTTTAATCATCTCTCTCATCTCATGTTGATATTCTAATCAAGGATAAGTCAACGAAAAGTATCTGATTTATTTCGCAAAACTTTGAAAATTGTGATTAACTTATAAAAGATAACTATTATTAAAACTTAAATAGCACTTATTTAAAATTAATATTTTTCTCAATAATCTTAATATTCACAAAAATAAAGGTTCTATCAATGTAATAAAAATGCAATTAAAAAAACATATTTTTTAAATTATCAAGTCTCCTCCAAACATCTAAATGTTATTATATCCTCAATAATCTAAATATTATTTAAATAAGTTAAAATACACATTAAATTTAAATATACGTATATATTTTAATATATTTGAATTTTCAGCAATATAAGCTTGTTTTTATATAATTAATATAGACTATAAAATGAAATTGAATATTAATATAAAAAAAAATAAAAAAGCCATATATATATATATTACATAAAGCGTGAAAGAAATCAATCAAAATGTTTGGAATGCGTATGCATGTGGTACAGAAATAGAAATGAATATCGATAAAATACCCTTTTCATGAAAATAAAATTTTCATAAAACTTCAAACTTTATTTGCCATTTCACGTTAACCAAATAATAAATATTAATATAAAAATTTCAATACATAAAAAATATCTAAATTTTGACGTACGATCAAAATGATTGAAAACGTCGTGTATTTGAAATGTTCAGAGATATGTTTTATACATACACGTTCATCCGATGTTCTCGTTATTACGAAATAAATCATACTTGAAACATCTCTTTCGATTGCCTCATCATTCAAACTAGTGAATCACGATCGCTTCCTCATCGTTAATACATCACGAATGTTCTTTGGCGCGTCCAAATTCACGGTGTATAAAGAAGATGCGGCAGCTGTTACATCGGTCTGTCGCGTCCTGTCACCGGCATCCCGATAACGTTGATAACGGGAAGAGCGACTCGCGCTACCACGGAACGTCGAACGTAAACTAATGTAAGTGCATCACAAATTCCTCCAAGAGAGCCCGTTCTACCACTCGATTAAATGCCCCCCTCTGTCACGGTCCCCTTCTCCGTATCGCTTCGTAATCGCACGTGAAAATGTTTACACACACATATATCCACGCTGTCTGAATGTGCGATGGTTACGCGCGCATCCATCAATGGCGATTCTCATCTTGAATGCGCCGTCGCAATGCTAGTCGTTCACGAGTGTCCGACGAGAATTGCCATCCTCGACAATCATACTCCCACTGTCATTGTTAAACGCGGATGCTCGGTGCATAAAAAATATGAAACTGCTGCGACATTAGATCATCAGGATTTCGCAACTCAGGCAACTTTTGTTTCCCTGGCAATGCGACGAGAAGTGACACGTTGACTGAAAACCTGGTTAAAAGAGTTCAAGCTAACGAAGTTTTTTTGGTCTCTTTTTAATTGTGACTGCTTGTGATACAAGGAAATCGAATTTGATAAATTTTGGATTATGGAAATATTTATACATATCTATTTTTCTCATTAAAATTTTGTATATGTAGATTTAAAAAGAGATTTGTGTCTCTTCGGAAAATAATATTTTGATTTTCCTAATTATCACGTAAGATCATTCTTGCATGATGTGCGGATCAATTATTTGTTGACCAATTAATCTGCCTTATAATTGCTACAAAAGATTATTCAATGGATGTGTTAACAACATATTGTTTATTCGGCTTAGCAAATAATCTCAAAATAAATAAAATATTCACGATATTTCTCATCACGCACGAAATTTTTTATTAATAAAAATAAAATATAATAATACAATTAATTTTCATTTAATTAGTAGTTTATTTTATCTACATATACGTGTTATGTTAATGTAAGTAAACCAGTTTATTCTATTCTCGGTTCTCGGTATGAACGCATATCGATGCTTCTGAATCATCGTACAAAAGTTCCACTATCTATCTCGGAAAATTTTCGACGAGAAACACGAATGTATGTAAATTTCCAATATCACGCCGTTATCTTTCGATGACCCGGTTTCTTTCCGATATATCACGCAGGCTATTCTATACTTCTCTTTAAAATACACCCATCATAATAATACTAGCTTCAGAATCACGAACAAGTTCTGAATACTGAATAGCCTTTGCGCAAACTGCATCAGAACATTAATTTATTTAAATATAATTTTATTTAATTAACGTAATGAGAATGTTTCGTTGAAATGTAATAACAATTATTTAATGTTTTATCGTGGCTTCATATAAATAGCTCTTAATTAATATAATTGAATGTATTCAATACATTCCAAAATTGCCAATATAAAAAATTTAAAGACTACCGTTTATATATTTGTTGAAAAATACGAAAAAATCCATAACAAACAGCTAGAAGCACTGCAAACAAGCTATTGTTTTTATCAGCAACATGCAACCATACAAAATAATTTATATTGCAAATTACATAGTAAAATAAAGAGTCAACACTTCAAATTTCAAAGTTAAAAGAAATCTTTCATAACTTAAAATTACGACCGTTTTTCTTTTCAGTCGGTTCGGAAATTTGCCTTAAAAAATAGAAACATTGACATAACATTTATTTTTCATTATTAGACATTGAAAACTCGTTTCAAATTATTTTAATTTTCGTCTTTTGTTTTACCTGGTAAGGAATCGACGTGAGAAAACTAGATTCGTTTCGATCATTTTGAGTCTCGTCCATCATTAGAACTGAATTCTGCTCCATTTTCAATTTTAATTATCACAAACACGAAAATTTTCTTGAAACGCAGATTTAATAAAATTAAATCGAAGACAAAAATAATCGATAGGAAGTTAATGAAACGCGATTGCGATAACTTGTTATCAGAAACTAACTGAGACAGCTGACATTTCTCAATTTATCGTTCTTTTTCTTGAGGTCAGCAAAAAATCGAAAAGCTGCACGTTTATGCGCTCATGGTCATTGAAAAAGAGATAAGAAAAGAATACTATATAATAAATATGTAGTATGTTATATACATAATAAAATTGAAACACGGAACTTGAACACTGATTGAAGTCTTCTAGTAAACTAAATAACCAATGAAGATTGTGATTGGCAAATATTACTTCATGCGTAGATAAACATTACACGCCTTACTATCGCAGTATCGTATAATAAGTCAAACAATCATTACGTATACATTTAAAACAGACTTGTTTTCTAAAACAGCCGATATAGACACATTGTAAAAAAATATGTAATATATTACACAAAAATATGTAAAATTACATAAATAATAAGTGTAAAATTACACGATAAATAATAGAAATGTTTTCCTTTTCATTATTTATCATGTAATTTTACATTTATTATTTATGTAATTTTACATATTTTTTTTACAATGCACGAACAAGTTAATAACATGCGTTTCTGATTTTCTTCTATAAAATCTGTCGTTTTTTTTTTCAGAAATTATATAAAGATATTGTACAAGTCTGATCATTTTTAAGTGTAATATTTAATAATCCGAGCGAACTGTTTTCAGTGTTTTCAGATATAAAATATATTCATATGTGCGATTGTATAAAACTTGTAACAATTTATTTTTTATTATACTTTTTCAAGATAAAAATATATCTTTTTTTTACCATGCAAGAATTCATATAGATAATTATTTAATTGAAGAGATAGAATATACATTAATGATTAATTTTCTAATTAATAATTCCTTCTGATAAAAAAGAGGAAAATTAAAATTGTATATTATATATTATAATCCGTATTCCGTGAAATATCAAATCTTCTTTTAAATTATATATATTTTAAAGAACTTATAATTGTAAAAATGTTTAGATACTAAAAAATTCTGAATTATATTATATATAGATTCATTAGGTAATATATTTAATTTTCAGAATGTGTAAATTTCTATGTAATTTAAGCACAATAAAAAATTTAATAAGAAAAAGTAAATAAAATATTTAATAAATAGCTGAGGCAAATTATAATTTTCTTCGCAGTAGCGAAGCGTTTGGTAGATAATTTGGTTAATTGTTTCGAAATAATAGGCATACCATCTATCATGTGAACTCGTGTTCTGTTATGCAAAAGAACTATTAATACGCTAATGTAGTATATAATATTTTCATGTTATGCCAACATGTCAAAAATATCGTTTTACACCTCGCAAAATCTAACGATACAAACATTATAAAGTAAAGTGACGTTACGTTGACAGCATCTAGTATTAGCAGATGAATCTACGTCGCAACCTATTCATTTTCACATCAGCAGTTTTCGACGTGACGTGATAATTACACGTCTTTGTCTTTAAATATCACTACTCATGTGTTTGAATAAAAATATATTGAAGAATCTAATTTTATAAACTGAGAAAATCAATATACCTATTTTTCAATAAAAGAAAATCAATATCAATATACTATTTTTCCTTTTTATTAAAAAATTAAAAGAGAGAGAATCAAATTTTCGATTATTTATAATTAAACTGAATTAAATGTATCGCGTATTTAATACAAACAAAAACAAATATAATAAAAATATTTCGTTTCTCAGCAAAAGCAATTTATATTAAATCGAGAAAGAAATAAAACTGCGATATAGTAATTTGATTAGATCAGTATTTCCTTGAGCTACATTTTCTCAGGCAAAGGATTATTAGATAGCTGTCTTTCGTCTATATACATTTAAGATTAAAAAATGTATATTTACTTAAAATGTAATAAAATTGTGATACAAAAACCTTCAACATGTTCAATACCGTATTCAATCGCATCGAATTACTAGACCTTCCACATGCAATTTAAGTAATAAGAGCTGGACATGCATGCACTAATATCAATTTTTGTATCAAGTCGATGATAAAATACAAAATTATAAGGTTTCTTTTTTTTTACGTGATATTTTACATTACTATTCTATTCTACAGTATTTTATTTTTTTACACGAAAAAATCTACGAATGTGCAGATCAGCGACTGACAGAATAAACATCAATAAGCACAAAAATTACAACATCTAGGATGACTGTCTAAATGTCTAAATGAGGACGTCTAGGGCACTGACAGGTGAAAACGCGTCACTGTAATTCACGTGCTTCGCGCATCACGATGAAGCAGATATCGCGCATTGTGTGAACATGTGACAAAGACGAGCTTTCTTAACTCGTGGTGAAGTCGTTTGCGGGACTGCAGAATCGGGACTCAGTCGGGCCTTATTGCGAGCACCGGACGGATACGCGCGATATGTAGACGTAATTCTTGTAAAATATTCGTACGAAAAAAAGAACGGTTGTGTTTTCTCGTTTTTAAATTATAAGTGAACGCTTTCTTTCTACCTTCTTTCATGAGATAGTTAATGAGCGAGAAAGAGATACCCTGATAAAGTGACAGTGAATAGAGAGATATGAAGTATATTTCCGGAGTAAAGAAAAATAAAATTCTTTGCGTATTTGCCAAGATTTTGTAACAAAGTTGAAAAAGTTTCTCATACATTTAAGTAAATTGATGAAATTCTTCTTTCACTTCGAAAGTGAACTATTTAATTAGAAAATGCTGTGTGTTAATTATATTACACAATTTTTAAGAATTGATTTTTTATTCTAAATCAAAAAATAATTTTAAAAATATGAGCTTCTTGCATTTATATCTTTCCTCGTTTTATACAAAAAATGACATATTAAATATTATAAAAACATAAGAGAGAAGAGAATATATGATTAATAAAATCGAAAACATTTTATCTCATTCTGTAATTTTCAAAATGCAAAAGAATGTATAGTACACATAAAATTCTGAAGTAAAATATAAATATTATAAATTTTGAAATTCTAAAAAGAATTTAAATTAGTTTAATTCTTTAAGTATTTTCTAAGTATTTTAAATTTTTCAAGTATTTTAATTTTGTGGAATTTTTCGGTTTTTTCATTGTTTTTTGAACTTGGTAATATTACTCGATGAATATACGTAACGAATGCTATTAAGTATTTCTCTCTTTTAAAGGTCAGAGGAAATCGATAAAAATTGAGTATACGATGATATTCCGTTTTTTAAAAATAGATCTATCAATTTAATTATCAAGAAAAAAAAGCTATCGCGTCATGTATAACTTGCATGCAATTTAATTCATTTATGTGTTGATGTTTACCTTTTAAAAAATTCATGTGTATTTCAAATATAAATCAAATGCATATGACCTAAGAAATCTAAAATTCAGAATGTTTTTTTAGCACTTAAAAATATTTTTGCATATAAATTCTCCAAAATATATATAAACTTAAAGATTCAATTTCTTAAATCAATTTTATATTTGTTCATTTTTTTTTTATTTTTTGCTAAATTATCGAAAAAATCCTGAAGAAGAAAATATGCACAGAGTGCATTTGTATGCAAAGAGAATAGTGTATTAATCAAACAATTAAAAAATCTAACATTAAATTAATAATAATATAATTCCTATAAATATGAACCTCTAAGAATTATTATATATGAATAAAAAATTCACTTTGACTAAACTCCAAATATAAAATTCTAAATAAAAATTCAAATCATATTAACACTTGATAAAAATAAATTATAAAGGAACATAAAGATGGTATATTTCCAACACTCGCGTACAATAAATTACAATTCAGGTATGGCATGATCTTTCGGGGCATGTCCTTGCTTACGTCTGATGTTAATCGCTCCGAAATGTTTCCTCACACTCCGCGCTACGTCAAATGATTGTTATCGATTGTATCGATATATGTATGTATGCCGCTTACGTATCATATCAAGAAAAACGCGAATAACAGTCGATTAATGTGCGTACTTCCAATCACACCTCACAATCAGAAAGATCTACTTGCTGTTAAAGAGAAATATAATAGAACTCGGCTTTTATACTTAAATCTTCGAAGAAAGTGTTCTTTGAACATTACGTTCTTACAGTTTTCAAGTTTTTAATTTTTGAAGGAAAGAAGAAATATGGTCGTCTCGCCCAGTATTTGTTTATTGATGGCCGGAGTGGCTGGGGTTTTTATTTTCATTGGCCTCCGAGCGAGGTAAGTATTATATGATTTAAAAATTATCGATTAATCGTAATATTATTTCTAGATTATCTGTTTAATTCTTTTTGACACATTGATTAAATGCGTAATAATTACGTTTTATTGAATCGCTTTATCATTAGATAAAAAAAGAATTTATAAAAACGAGTTATAACGCACGAAAAAATTCTCAAGTTTTTGAATCCTTGAATCTTTAGAACTATTGTAGTTAAAAAATTTTAGAAATAAGTTATTGGGTTTTCCAAATTAATATTAAAAAAGCCTGTAATTTTCTAAAGTTTTAAAACTTAGAAATCCTTGAAGAATATCTAAATTTAAATAATTTGTATTTTTAATTCAGTTTTTGTAATAAAGTATAATGTAAATTAATTTTTTCTTTTTTTCTTTTTTTATATTAAACATTTTTTTCGTGTTTCTTTATATAATGGTGTAAATACAGATTGTATAAAAAAATCCAAGATTATCAATGATAGATGGATTTACGTTTATCATACATATACATATATCATCATATCAAATTCCTTTTTTATAATTCTTTGAAAGAAGAATTGCGATTATATTTAAAGTGATTAAACCTGTTTGTTGCCATTTGACACTTTTTATATTTAATATAAAACAAATGTCACGTGTTCTCTCACATCGAAAAAAGGAAGAATAAATGTCTTCACTTATATTTTTCACCTTTCAAACATAAAGTTTTTGCATGTCGGTAAAGATAACTATTGAAGTTTGACAATACACTATTATATAATACTCTTCAAAACTATTTAATTGATGATGCAGCAAAGTAGGGTAGTTTATTTTCCGTTCAAATCAAAATACGCCAGGTTTATTAATTCGAAGCAAATCGATACCGAAATAAATGTCTACTGATATTGTAAGATAACCTGACAGCATTGTATTTGTTGACCCAGATTAAAAATTAATTTCATTTCTTACATTCCCAAAGGGTGTCACTGCTTATAATAGAAGCAATACCGTAAAATGATATAGACTTTCTTGTATTGTTAGATTTGTCGATATTCTCTTATATTTAGATGAATTATTTCCGAAAAGGACGCAAGCTATTTTTTGACGAACTTTCTATTGTTAAAAAATGCACACGTGTACTTACTGAAATAAACTGTGATCTTGTAGAAAACAAATTATTTTCAGCATTATACAAAGTATTTCTAAAACTATGTCAGAGATTTTGAGGGCGTATTTTACAGAGCAAAATAAGAGAAAACATTCATATAAACATAAAATATAATAATTCAAAAAAATCGAAAAATCTCCGAAAGCTACAATAAATATTTCTCGATCTTTTTACCCATCTTTAAGGGGTTACTCGAAGGGAAAGCATTTTTGAACCCTTATTTATAGAAACTTCTTTTTTTATTTTGACTCCTAGAATACATCCTTAAAATTTCTGATCTAGTTTTAGAAACATCCTGTATAAAATAAGATTAGATTTCTTTCCTAAATTATCTTTATAAAAATAAGAAAGATTCGAATAATGAATTTTATAATATATTTTATTTTTTTACTATTAAAACCTACTTTTACTTTGCTGCACACATATCATTTAATTATCCAATATTTCAAATAATATTTTCTAAATGGTTGTCAATTCACGATTCTATCTAAGTCAGTGTGATGTATATTTATTTTTACCTTAATTTTTACCTATCCGTATCTTATCTTACCTCACCACGCCTATTCATTTTTCTCGGCATTGCATGATCGCGAGTGAGAGAGAAAGAGAAAAAGAGAATGTTACGTGCACGCTCCCGTACGTGTTAATATTCGGTCGAGGTACCGCGATCTCATCACAAACGAGCCGATTTAGGCTCGCGGGTCGTTACCGGAAGCGCTTACGACGCGATGTATCGACGACGACCTATCGATACACGTGAGCGAGAGTCAGAACGGAAAAGGAGGAAGAAAAGCGAGCGAAAGAGAGGAGAAGAGAGCGTCATTAATTAAGGATGCACGTGGCGATCCGGGGCGTGGAGGAACACGTCAACGACGAAATGTCGACAGACAATGACCGGCACGTATCGAACGAACAATGGATGCAACGGCGCGTAGGGGAACCGGAAGCGCCGTATAGGAACCGAACACTCGGGGATCCGCGCGCACCAATCTGGCGTTCTCTTCCATTGTTGGGATACTCGTTGTCGCGGATAGTCGGTCATCCTCGGGTGTAAATCGGTGGAAAATGGTGCAAAATGCTAGCGCGAATCTTTCTCGAGTGGTCCCCGAAAGGTGCGAGAACTGTCAGCCCTTCAGTTCTCTATTCAATCAATACAGCAGTTGATTGGATTCTCTACGGTACGATATAATCAAGAAAAGAAGTTTCCACTTTACGATGCTTAGGACTGATTCTCTACAAAGTTAGAGGTAGAGTGACCTATTATAACTGCTCGACAATTAATATTACATTATTCGACATCGATGAGATCGACAAAGTTCCTGCTCGATTATAATTGAAATTAATTTTCTGCCAAGTTAAAAATCCGCTTTATTGTCTGTTATAAGGACGGTAGCGTAAAAGAAGAGACAAACTTGATTTAACGTCACTGGAACAACTAAGACCGATGAAATTTTTACTCAACGTGGGAAATTAATTTTCTACAAAGTTACAAGTTTACGTTATTGTTTATTTAAGAATGATAAAGAACATTTTGGGATAAAAGAAATCAATTATAAATAAATCCTCGAAATGTGTCACTTCGAAAAAAATAACATAAGACGTACAAATATAAATTTAATGTCCATAATTATATAAAAATTGAAGAATAGAGAAGAGAATAAAGAACAAAAAATGAGTCGGCCATCGCCGGAAATAACGCTAACAAAATAAAGTAAAATATAGAAAGTCTGCTAATATAGAAAATTCGGACATTTTTAATCGTATGGGAAACAAAGTTGGAGAAACTGCGTTAAACGATAAACAGAATAGTTTGTTGATTTTACTTTTACTCGATGACAATAGCGCGAAACGTTCGCGTTGGTGTTCATTGTGAGACCGGATTGAAGCTGAACAACCGATGAAACATTTCTTTCTGAGGATTCTCTGCGGGAGAAAGCGAGAGAAACGGTAAGTGTAAACAGTGTGACTAGATCTCCATAATTATAATGCGTCTGCGAAATTATACTAATGAAATGATATTAAGTTTTTACTAGAAATTATAGACAAGAGAAATGGAATTAATAGATAATAGAAATAGAATACATACTAGATGGTAAAATTCATATTGTATAAAAGAAAGAGATTCCTCTATAAGATAGCAAATAATTTCTCATCGTATTATACGGCCACTGCACTTCATATTTTTTTTTTTTTTCATGTGAGATATTTTTCGCTAATTTACTTCAACAAATTAAAGAAAAGAGAAAAGACAAATATATTTCAATAAGATAATGAAAAGAAAAACCTATATTAAAAATTAATCAGAAAATCTTAAAATGCAATCTCAAAATTATTTTGTTTTCAGAACAATTTTTACTCCAGATGTTTTTCTACCGAGTAATTGCATCAATTATAACATATTTTTAAAAATCTGCTTTAATTAAAAAATTAAAGCAATTTAATTAAAAAGTGAAATTTATATTTTTATTCATAAATTCACAAAAAATCGCATAAATTTCTTAAACTATTTTCTTTATATTTGATATAAATTGTAGAGATGATAGTAGAGATAATTGATGATGTGTGTATTATATATAATATATATATATATATATTATAAAGATTATATGTATAATATATAATCATTAATCAAAGATTTATGGAATAATGATATAGCATTATAGCGTGGTTGTCTAAAGCATCTGTTATGTAATACGAAGCATTATGCTATGCTATTACATAAACGGATTACAGCAACGCGGTGAAGCTGTGAATTGTCGTATGCAGAGAAATGAGGAAATGATCGAAGTAGACAAGAAGTCTGTTGCATGTTACCGAATACGATCGATTTAATAATGATCATTTAATATTCAATTTTTGCTGTGACCCACACTTAAATAATAATGATTTTTTGAAATTTTATAAGATGAAAAGATTATATTTTTGTGCAGAATGTATATATATTTTTGTTTGGCTTAGTTATTATACAAATTTAATTTATAATGTGTATGCAGAAGAATAGAAAATTATCTTAGATTTATAAAAAATGGAATGTATGTTTAATCTTCCTCCTTTTACTAATTTAATTACCATAATAAGAAATTATCTTGGATTTAGAAAAAATTGAATGTGTTTAATCTTCCTCCTTTTACTAATTTAATTACCATAAAAAATATAAGTTATTTAATGAGTCATTGCACTCTCAAATTATCAGCTTATACTGTGATTATTACTATTGTAATTACTATTATGACTTACTGTTGTAATTATTAAAAAAAATGTTAATTATATTCAACAAACCTAAATAAAGTAAAATTTTGTAATAGACAAATAAACTTTAAACACGTATAAAAAATATTGCCTCTCTTATACTTATCACTCATTTAATGATTCGAAATAAATTTTATTCATGAACATTTTATGAAAATTTATTTATCTATATTGACGTTTGACGCAATTTTTTAACTTTAGATTAAATATGTTAATAATCTTAGCAAAAATACGTAAGCTTATTAACATACTATATGTGTTTTTAAAATTGAGAATGTTGTCATAAAAATGTGAGTAGGTATACCAAAAAAATGTATACTGGAACCATCACTTTCAATAAACATTGTTGAAAGTTTGCGCAGTACACGTTTTATATAACATAATCTTTAATTAAATTTTTATTAGCTATTTAAAAAGTCAGAAAGAAAACAATATAGATGTTAATTAATTACATTCAATTCACTTTCTAATATGGGAAAAAAATTCCAAAGAACTTTATTTTCCGCAATAAAATAGAAGAACAGAAAGTAGAAAAATTGAAGAATACATCAAGTATACCCACATACAATAATTCTCTTATTCTAAAAAATAATTCCAATTGTGTGTTTTGTGGGATTTCTTATTATTATAAATCATCTTGAAATATCCAATTTACATCTGCGTCGTAATTCAACTTTCGATATTACATCATATAGTATTTTCATAAAATTAGCGACATGAATTGGCAAACATTTGCCGCAGGATAAGAAAGAAAGATCGGCGATTCCGTCATCGAATGTTTTTAATCGAATGTTTCGAGCGACCACCGAAATTCAGTGAAAGTTCCCATCAATCGCACGAACGTAGGTCAACCGGTTGATGACAGAGAGAGAGAGAGAGAGAGAGAGAGAGAGAGAGAGAGAGAGAGAGAGAGAGAGAGAGAGAAAACAGAGCAAGAGAAAGGAATATCTTTGCGGCGAATGTAACGAAGACAGAGTATTCCTACCATCGGCAGAAATCAGCGCGCATAACCGCACGATTCTGAGTTTCCCCGGCTAACGACAGTTCACTGTCACTTTCGAGCCGACAGTCCGATACGAGGATACGATCGTGCCAGTTCTCTGCGGCGCGTCTTGTCCACGGAAAATGGCATGCCGAGCGAGTTAACAAGTCTGCGGTCTGACCGCGTGCCAAACTCGCGCTTCCGTCAACATCGTCGACAACGCGACTTGAATTGCAACTTTCTAGAAAAATACGAATTCAAACGATCTGAAGAACAGCAAAGATACTGAAATAAAGTGCCTAGTCCAGAGTATTAAAGTAAACTGGATGCCGGACCAGAAGCAGCATTTGTGGACTGCGAGCTATAGAGAAAAGATAACTTATTGGAAAGCGAAAGGACTCGAAAGGAGTGGAGAGAAGAAGACTAAAAGAGTACAAAATCGCCTAAAAAGTACCTGGAGAAACAAAATCGTTACCTGGAGAAAGAAAAGTCGCAAGAAAAGAGATACAACGAGAAAAATATTCGATTGTAGGAACTACTTGGAATAATCAAAGTAGCTTTTGAACCTTCTTTAAAAATCGGAATGTTACAGCGAGCCTGGTGTATGTTAGAATAAGAAGATTGACAGAAGTGAAAGGAAGAAGAAATCGTAGGCGTTAAATAGAGAGAGGATTATCTAAGATGATTGATGGCGCGTGAAAAGCAACCAGAGAAGATATCTAAGATTTCGTAGAATCATAACGTGATCACGAATTGACGGATGCATATTGGAGAAGAAACAAGATCAATAAAGAAGAAGGAAGAAGAGATCGTGGGAATCTATCATTCTAGTAATTCGATCGAAAAGATCGGCCAAGCTTATCGAAACTTGTGTTGTGGAACAACGAGAAGAAGATCTGGTATCCTGTGAGAACGAGTTACAAAGTTGGAGAAGATATATCTACGAGAGGAAGTCATCAAAACAGCTAATTAAGAGGATCATCCGAGGAAGATGAAGCACAAGATATAAGAAGAAGAAGAGCTTGTGAAATTCAAGAAAGAGTCAGTATGTGAATTTGGGACACGTGACTATAAAAAAGCAGGAGCGATCAAAGAGAAAGTTACAAAGTTTAATTGACAAAATCATCTGAAAGAATTGAAGAAGTACAAAGAAAAAATCTAATCTAGAAAAAAATCACAAAGATCCAATTAAGTTAAAATCAAGATAAAAAGAAAAACAAAAAAGTCTCAATTTAATTATAAAATTGGAACTCGAAGAAATCAAAGCACGGTGAAAAACACATCAGAAACGAACAAGAATTCACAGTCTAACAGTAAGATAAAAATCGTGAAAGCTAAAGTGAAAGACGAAATAGTGCTTTCGTCATAAAAATTAAGATTTTATATTTTGAAAGAACTTTCATAGATATTGAATTAAGATTAAATCCAGTACGTGGTTACCGCACTTACATAATTTTTATCAGTTATTTCTTACATTGAACTACACGCTTATGCATACGAAAACAATCCTGCACAAATTAGAAATAATTGCGCGTGATTACGTAAGACAACGTAACTCTCGTCGATCCCGCGCGTTGGAAAGCTGCGCGATCGCGTAACAGGCAAAATTAGAGCGCGAATTGCGTAGTCATACTGAGACGTAGTGAATTTGCGGAAATGCGGGTGGCCAGAACGCGGAACAGATGAGCCGAGGAAGCTGCCCGGGGAAAGCGAAAATCGCGGATCAGACACGGAATCGTCGAATCACTCTACTCGCCATCGTAAATGCAAAATTAGAATCGAGTAATACGCAAAAACTTTCGCATATTAAGTCGCAATTAATAACGTGCAAATTTAATATTGGACTTATTGTTAGTTCGAAGGATGATCTCGCAATGGAATCACCGAAGCCGATTGAACCAATATCGGTCAGAACTAGTTGCTATATATAAACTTTTTTTCTGTTTCGAATTAATGGTATAATTAATGCTATAATTTAAAAAATAACGATAAATTGATATCCAAAGAAAACAAAAGTTTAATCAGCGTTGACAATCGTAATTAATTGTAAAATTAATATATTGTTATGAAAAGGTGAGAGAAATACACTTATTGAAATCGGAGTAAAATTCCGATTGCGCCAAAGTTGGCTAGAAATAATCGTGATTAATCCTACAATTCATGTTGCACAATTCCTATTATAATATGTACCATTATTTAAAAAATAATAAATAATTGTGAAGAAACGGAAGAACAAAGTTAAAGAGAAAGACGAGTGTTGCTTTTGCAAGAAAACGCGTTCTGCAATCAGCAACATGCTGATTTACGTTTTCAGTTTGATCTCCACGCTGCTAATTGAGAGTGACAAAGTCGTGCCTAGTCAAGAGAGATACAACATGGCGACCTTTATGGTTCTGTTTCTTCTAATTACCATTGAGGTAGTGCTGGTGAAGGTCGTCACTTCCGATATGGAACGAGACGAGGACAGTCACTCACCGCTAAGCGCGGCCGCAGCGTTTTTCGATCGCGACGATTAGAAATTCGCGACAAATTTAGGGATAATGAAAATTTAAATTTATTTCGGCGAAAGAGTGGCAGAAGTTTGCTTAACATTTTTTCAGAAGAAATTTTGCAATAATATCGTACCTACGTATATCGCAAATAAAAGTTTGTTTCTTAATATATGTATATAATAATAGATTCTGCGTCTTTATGCACAAATATAATTATTTAAAAAATAAATAAAATCGCATTTTATCTTTTAAATAATTAAGTCACCATGATATATATCCACGATACTTTCATATCTTATTGTTAGAACTGAAACAATCAATGTGCATTAAAAGTGACTTATGATATGTAATTTATCATATATTTATGTTTGACTTCTGCCACTTTCCGAACAGTATAAATCGTTTATTGAGAACGTGTGCATTGACCGAAAAAGAAGAAACGCACTATTACAGCACAAAACAGTATCCGCATCTATTAATATATACTTTCTATTACATTTTCTTTTCATACTACAATTATTGGCTTGTGCCGATTATTAAGTCTCAATAATATAGGATCTCGTGTAGTAATATACGTATACAGGATGTCCTAAAATTGTCAGTATGATTTCTTCAAATAATTTAGAATTTTCTTTAATAAAAAATATTTTGATTTCTTTCAAATAATGCAAAATTTTTATTAATAAAAATTTAATTTAAGTGTAAATAGAAAATTGTATATTATACGACTCTTGATTAACTCATATTATTAACATCAGAATATTATTTAAGAGAAAATTATTTAAGAACATTATTTAATTCTACTGTAGGAGAACTGTATTAGGAAATATAATTGTAAATTATTTAATATTGAACAATACATAAACACAATATGTGCCATGAAAAAAATTTTAATTCGATAAAGTAAAGAGGGGGAATCAATTTCCTATGGATTTCCACGTTCTGTGTGATTATTTTATTATTATGTATTAGATAAGTATGTTCGTCAAAATTATTTAATCTTAAATAATTTTCAGTGTTTAATTAAAAAAAGAAAATAATAAATCTTTAAAATACAATGTGAAAAAGTTTTTAAGATAAAGAAATAAAAAATTTTTTATTTTTGCTACAACACAATAAAATTTTGCCGATTGTCATGGTTTTGCGAAGCACCCTATATAGTAAATGTACATTGTAGTTTGTACATGCATATGCAATAAGCGCGGTTATTTTGTACCGTTACGACGTTGTAAATATGTAACGACTGTGCCCTAGAATACGTATTTCGAGTCGATCGTTGTGGTTTCACAATATGATAAATTGCGGTGGCTTTATTGCGTGTGATACACGCTTATCCTTCGATTATTATTTTATTACTTTGTTCAACGGATGACATGAACTGCAATTATATCATCTTACATCATGAATGTCTATGCAAAAAATGTTTATATCTCAAAAATAAATTCAATCAATAACAAATTCATTAAAACTGCTCGATGTTTTCTCATTTCTGAGATGACTTTTACATTGGCTTATTTATTATTCTACAGTTCGTACAACTATTTTTTTAGAATATATCTCTTCTGTAAATTTCATAATTAAATATTAATTAATAAATATTTTGTTTATTTGTAACTTATGTGTTCTTTATTTTCAGACACACAAAACCTATTTCTAGTTTAAATAAATAAATATGATTAGAGAGTTTAATAATTAGATTATAATATTATATATATAAAATATTATAATGTAATTATTACCATAAGCATGACAATAATAAATTAATAATTATTTTGCATAAATAACAAGATGTCTAAATAATAATCAAGATATATGAGAAAAAGTACAAAGTAGAAATACAAATTTTATTTAAAAATTTATTGCGGATGTTTACTGCCGATTATGCAAAATCATCGACATGATATATTTTTTTTTTTTTTTTTATTTGTCATACTTGTTTTTATACATTGTATGGATATTATAATAAATTAAAATAAATCTTTAATTTTATTTAGAATTAAATTCAAGGTGAACAATATAAGTGATCGATGTGCATAATCAATATACATTATTTTTTTTATAGAATTTCCTTAATTTGCACTCTTGATAAACAACTTTTTTTTCCAGGAAAGATTCAAAGTCGAAAGAAAAAAAGCAAGTAGACGAGGGTCACTGCGCCTGTTGCTTGGCACCATTCCTAATCAGTCGTGGTGTGCGCTGCAACGATTGCGGCGCTAGGGCCTGCAGAAAATCCTGTTCCCGTTGGGACACATCGGATAATGCTTGGAATTGCATATTTTGCCATCAACGAAGGTCTCTTTAATGCCTTCATATTTATTCACAATATATATTACTTATTATTTACACGATATTTTAATATTACATTAATTTATATATTTTCCCGCAAAAATTGTTCATTATTTTTGATGCATGAAACATATAATTTTTTTGCAAATTGCTTAATTTTAATAAAGACTTAATATCCATACTTGTGGCATTAAAGATTTTTTTCGAACATTTATTTTTAATAAAGTTTAACGAAAGGAAACGTTCTTAATTTCGCAGAGCGTGGATGAGAAAAAATGAAAAATGGTTCGAAAATTTCGGTAGCACGACAAATGAAAAGGAGGAATCGCAGAGCTTCTTCGGCACTGCTAAATCGCAAGTCTACATTGCAGGTAATGTATAAAAAATTATATAAAACTTTAATGTTCAGTTAAATATTTATATATAAATTATCAACAATATCTGCAATAAATTAAATGTGTGATAAATATCATAAAGGTTTCGTAACATCCATATCGGAATTAATTATATCAATTAATCTTCAATGTGTTTTATTCTTTTAATTTAAATATTATTCCTCGGATTTTTAAAAATATTAAATGTTTAGGAAATATGATATTTCGAAACGATGACGTTATATATCAGGCATATCTTCTACTTGTTTAATTAATACCTCTTTTCCTTACAATTTTATGAATCGCGCATTTATTGTTTTACCCGTGATTGGAGAACGTCTGTCCTTGTTTGAAGACGGAAAAGTCGCGTAACGGAAGGAGACTGACATGAACAGTAAGAATGGCTCGAAAAGTCTCTCACGACGATGCTTATTGTTCAGTGCGCGCCGCGTGATCCACCACATGAATCGTATCAACGGGCTCGATCGGAAAAGAGCACGAGTGACCTAACGGACACGAAGGTGTATGGTCCAAGATTTAGAAAGCGACTTTTCTTCATTTCGCGACGAACGTGCGCAGGCGGACTGTGATAGCGGCAAAACGCGATACGCGCTTCGAATAGCGATATTGAGAAATGTGCGAGATAATGAAATGTGATATATAAATCAAACATTGAAGAAACGTGATTCTATATGAACATGATATTCATGATTTTATAATGTAAACTTGTATTGAGATTAACATAAATTTGGAACGCGTATATGCATTTGATAAGTGTCTCCTCACTTTGACATTTACTTTTACGTGGCTTTTTTCAATTAAATAATAATAAAAAATTGTATACTTGTGATTTTTTCAAACTAAATTTCTATATCAAGTATTAAAAATAAATTACATTTCTATAAGAATATTCAAAATTGTTCTCCAGGACATGCAGTTGCAACGAACATGGAGCAGATTCAAGAGGATCAGGAAGAAAAGCATGTAATTCGAAATTTTGTTGAGAAGATAGTCGAGGATCTCGTTGAGAATGTGAATGACACGTCGATCGATCGACTCTATAAAAATTCCGAATGTAAGTATTTTATATATTGCCTTAAAAAAAAAGAAAAAAAACACGTATAAAATTATAATTGAAACTTATTTAATTTCTATCAACAGACGACAAATTTTTGGAGGAGCATCGTCCACCATTGATTGCTGCTTTGACTCAATTGGCTACATGTCTGGAAACATCTCTTACAAGTACGTACACTATTTAATTTAATGCATACTTTTTTATTAATTATAAAACAGTTTTCTCTAGAATATTTAAATTTGTGAATTAAAAACTTTTTCAAAACATATGACTTATAAGGTCCACAGTAGTCAGTGCTAAATCCATTTTTGCACTGTTACAAAAAAATTTTGATCTCGTACTATATCACGTTCTTGCAGTGAAATCTTCAGAAATAATTATTGTGACCTGCATTTCTACATACATTTATGTCTTGAACTCATTAATATACAAGTTGTCGTTTTATTATCGCATTATTAGAAGAAAAATTCGATGAATGTCATGCAATTTCAACTTCTCCATGATACATTTACAAACAGCACGTCCATACAGAGTGTTTCTTTCGAAACTACAATTAAAATTTCATACTCGATAGATAATATTTATGATACCATAAATTAAATGCACTACTGTTTATAAGATCGAAATTATAATCACGAGTGTTCTGATAATTTATTTTTTTTTTTTTAAAGTAGACATAAATGTAGAGTGACTTAATTAAATAATTTGATTAGTTAGAGTTTATGAACAGTTGTTTGAAGACTACTAATCTGTGCTTGCATGCTCAAAAATAAATTTGATTCCCAAATTTGTTCGGGAAAATATATATCAAACTTTAACGCGATAGAGTGGAACAACTTGATCGGTACCGAATATAATTCGCGGACGAGTCTGAAGGTCAACACCCGGTGCATTCTCACCTCGATCACGCGCACACGAGTTATTAACCGCCACCGCGATAATTTCTACAAAGACAATGCGCTCCGTTCCGCTTCAACCCTGGCTGACGTTCTCGAGGCACTTTAATCATTATATCTGCGTCCGCGACATCTTGACTTGATGAGATTACGTAAAAGACACGTTCGTAATTATCCGTAGCTCATCCTCCTCTCACTTGGTTCATTCCGCGCAATTCTGCTTTCCCACGATTGGATTGGCGCGACGCGATCCCGTTAAACACGAAAACCGGCTGTTTCTGTCGCAGCGAAAGTGGGTTGCAAATTCGTTATCAATGAGTACACGAAATTGGAGCACCTAGATATTGTAAACAGGAAACCTGTGACAGGTTCACTATTTAATATTGAAAAAAAAGAAGCGTTTCTCTTTCTACCCTACGCTAAAAAAAGAACGAATGTTTGTTCGAATAATTATTTAATTTTATTGGGTTATGATGTATATTATATTTTTTATTGCATTAGACATTACGAAATTATATAATTTGATAGAATGTATGGTAATGCAGCGTTATAACAAAAAGTTCGTTTCTTTCGAGATAATATTAAAAATTTATTTTTCTATATTTTGTCAATGAGATATGTAAGATATATAACATATTTATTTAAAAGCAATTTATTTTATTTTTTTAATGCGATACTTTATTTTTGAGATCTTATTTTTTATATTTTTAAAAGAAATAGTTTCGTGCAGAATCCTTATAACGTGTGTACGTAGTTCAGTGAAAGGTCGATAGATTGTGCATGCTGTACACTGTACCGCAATGATATTCTCTTTAAAGAGCTACCAAGCTAAAGCCTGCTCAATAAAAATTAAAAAAAAATCTCTTTAAAGAAATATCTGATCTGCAAAAGTTTTCAAGCAATTCGTAATCATTATTCATAACATTTTTAGTAATTTGAATAGCAACTGTAAATACAAATCCTTCATTCATTGTAATTTTGATATGGTTAGTATAATGCAATTAATTCACAAAAGAGCAGTGACAATTTTTTATTTTAATTATGAAGTTTTAATAAGTATTGCAGTTTTAAAAATTAATTGGGCAAATTAATTTGTAAAAATTAATTGGGCAAATTAATTTGTAAAAATTACTTGTAAAAATTAATTTGTGCAAATAAGTATCAAAAGCAAATTTAAATTTCTAAATATCTTCCTAATATGATTTGATTGTAGAAATATAACATAATATTGATTTTATCGTAAATAAAATATATTATTCTGTTCCGTAACTCTATTGCCCGGCTTAATACATAATTATTCTGATTTAAAAAGAAATCTCAGCTTCATATAGCATTTATAAATCTGTTTGATTTTTATTCAATCTTGAATCACTTTGAATCTCTCCAATACTTTCTAATGTTTTTAATAATAAATTACAGGCAATACATCAGAATTGTTTTTAAATCATTAAATATCATAATGAAAAATTCAATGAAAGAAAGAACTGTTTTGCAGAGAATTGATCCATCTTCTATAAATTATAAAAAATATTTCGATCGCTTGCGTGATCAGTCTTATTATTTATAATGGTATGATAGTACGAACACACGTTAAAGAAAAAAACAGTCGCACGACTCAAAAAGTGGACCTGAAAGCCGATCACCATTTAACAGCAGATACTCGATGGCGAAAGTTGAAACTTCAACTTCAACAAGTTAGTTTCGAAGATACTTCGAAGGTGATCATAAATATTCTTGTTAAAAGCTCAAAGATTCTAAAAATATTACTTTTCAGAAATTGCCTGATATAATCGCTTGATATAAAATTTCAGTAGCATTATGCAATGATATATTATTGAATTAACATAAACAAGTTTATTTTCAAGAATTTATAATAATCCGAAAATTACTTAAGATCTCAGGATCATGCAGAATAGATTTAAATAATTAAAAGGCTAAAACAGCAGATAAAGTCATTACTTCTTACAAATTTTGAAATTCAAAAATTTAATTTATTATCGAACGAGAAAAATTTTGAATTGTCTAGTTAATCTTTTGATACAAAATGGTTTGTAATGAAAAAAATTAATTGTCATGGAAATTATAATACGAAAAAAATAGCGAATCTTACAACGTAATACTTCTTTCTGACTGAATCACTGCAATTTCTGATTTGAAGGATAGATTTCTGATTAGCTAATTCGCTAATTGAAGGAAACTATGAAGGAAATAATAAATTGCAATGATCTTGTTGAATAATAATCGTCAAGTCATCGTGTTCGACTCATTCGAAGAATACATAAACAATCTCATTTAAAAAAATTAAAGTAATAATTATATTTAAAATTTGCTCGCACATATACGATGATGAAAAATACATCGATCAAAATTGCTTACATATTTATCAATTATTCACGTATACAAATTGCAAAAGATTTATAACTCATAATTTTTAAATAATTTCTTTTTCAATCACAAAAAAACGACTGTTTCTTTTGAGATTTCCATGAAGAAAAATCGATTGGTAATCAACTAACAAAATTGTCCTATTGCAATTTTATTGTAATTTTATTCTTAACACATGTATAGGCTAGATCGAGAGAACAAACAAATCCACGAGAAAATTCAGGTCGAGTAAAAACATACAGTAAAAGCATACAAGCAGTATTCGCAGATAAGGAAAACGAGTTCCGTGATTCTTCCGCGAATCGAAATGACATTTACGCAGTTACGATCGATTATTTCAATACCGGTCGCGGAATTTGCAAAGTTAAAATCATATCCTAGTCGTAAGCAAAGTAGTACTAATTCCAATCTGCTCCAGGGAATGGTATGAGATTAAAACTCGCGTAATTCGAACGATTACTTTTGCTTTCTATCATAGAAACGAGTGGTTCTCTTTTTTATGTTCTATTTAAAAGAGAGCTAAAAATAGACACAAATGGCTCTCTTCTTTAAGTTCTATTTAAAAGATAAGTTAAAAAAAGTCGCATGACTGAACAATAGATATAGAATTGCGTCTATCAGCGCGATAAGGCTTGTTAGACCATAACTTGGCAAACAATTATTGATATCGCCACACGCTGCTCCAATTCTCTTACTATAAGTTATGTGGCTTCGCAAACTTAAGCTCTCGCAGTATGTGTATATACTAATAATTTCCGACATTTATTATTGAAGTTTTATCATAATCGAGAAGATATGAATATCTCTCGAGTGCCAAACGGAAAACTTGAGCTCTATATTTTTTACAATATTTTTAGAATATATATATATATATATATATATGTATATATATAATCATAAAATATCCTATAAAAAATAAAAACCATAGATTTTTGCTCAATATTTCTTTCATTTGAAATAATTATCCTAGGAGAGTTATAAGAGTTATAGTATCATCAATGTCGAAATTAATTGGAACCGTAGAGGGATTACAATTTTTTTTAGAATATATATATGTATATATATAATCATAAAATATCCTATAAAAAATAAAAACCATAGATTTTTGCCCAATGTTTCTTTCATTTGAAATAATTATCCTACGAGAGTTATAAGAGTTATAGTATCATCAATGTCGAAATTAATTGGAACCGTAGAGGGATGACAATTTTTTTTAGAATATATATATGTATATATATAATCATAAAATATCCTATAAAAAATAAAAACCATAGATTTTTGCCTAATGTTTCTTTCATTTGAAATAATTATCTCAGGAGAGTTAGTACCATATCAATGTCAAAATTAATTGGAACCGCAGAGGGATTACAATTTTTTTTAGATATATATATATATATATATATATATATATATATGTATATATATATAATCATAAAATATCCTATAAAAAAAACAAAACCATAGATTTTTGCCCAATGTTTCTTTCATTTGAAATAATTATCCCAGGAGAGTTAGTACCATATCAATGTCGAAATTAATTGGAACCGCAGAGGGTTTACAATTTACCGCGATCCTAATTTCGAGATTGAGCGAGCGTGTAATTAGCGCTAAACGCGTTCCGCGAATGCGGGCCACCGTGGTCCCACAAAACCCGGAGGTCCTCCCGAGAGATCGCGACGACGCGGCGCGACGCGACGTGCGATTTCGCGATAGACGCGCGCGTTCTCTCGCAAATACGACTGACTCCCCACTATGAGAAGCCATAGGTCGTATACACCGTCGTCGTCGTACAGATGGACGAGGACGAACGAAGTGCGTGTCGTCTTTGGATTCAGTCGCGAACGAGCGGTACGAGAGCGCGCGAGTGAAATTCGCGCGGCCCGCGC